AGTTCCAGCAATTTGCCTTGAGGCACGATGCCAATGCACCACTAGCTTATTAACTTCCCGTAGGGCAAGTTATAGTAATCGCAAAAAATTCGAAAATGAAAATTTTTATAGATCTTTATGTTTCAGAGGTTTCTGAACATTTTGGCATACATTAGAAAAAATGGATGTATGTGTGTGTGTGTGTATGTATGTATGTACGTGTGTGTATGTATGTGCGGATACAAATTTTCGTCGACGATTTCAGGAACACGGATCAACCGATTTGAATAATTCAAAAAACTTTCGATTCGTATTGATAAGGAGACGTGCTGATTAGTTTTTGGCGAAGGCAGGTCCAGCCGTTCCAAAGATACGAGGCAAAAAGTGCCGAAAACGGTAACTCAGTTTTTAGGAGAACGGAACGTCCGATTTGAATAATTCAAAAAACATTTTACTTGTATTGATGAAGAATTGATCAAATTTTCATGAAGGCAGGTCTAGCGGTTTCGGAGATCTAATGATAAAAGTAAAAAAAATGCCATTTGGCGGTCAAAAATGATCATTAGACATATGCACATCAAATTAGCAGATATTTTATAGAGATTTTAACAATAAGTATAAACATTTTTTACATTTCTATGGGTTCCGTACCAATGCTTATCCATTAGACGGCGGCGCGGCACTTGCGCGCTTTGACATTTCGTCTCTATGCAGATAAAGCAGTACGATTGCTTTGAAAAAAAGTTCAGAATTTCCAAAATAAGTCAAAATGAAGAAAACATTTTTCTTTTCAAAAAAAAAAATTATTTCAAAAAAGTAATTTTTTGTCAAATTTATAGTTTCTCAAAAATCTAATTTTTTCGAAGTAAAAATGTTAATCGTTTTTAAAAAAATAATAATTTTTGGTACGGGAAGTTCCAGCAATTTGCCTTGAGGCACGATGCCAATGCACCACTAGCTTATTAACTTCCCGTAGGGCAAGTTATAGTAATCGCAAAAAAATCGAAAATGAAAATTTTTATAGATCTTTACGTTTCAGAGGTTTCTGAACATTTTGGCATACATTAGAAAAAATGGATGTATGTGTGTGTGTGTGTATGTATGTATGTACGTGTGTGTATGTATGTGCGGATACAAATTTTCGTCGACGATTTCAGGAACACGGATCAACCGATTTGAATAATTCAAAAAACTTTTGATTCGTATTGATAAGGAGACGTGCTGATTAGTTTTTGGCGAAGGCAGGTCCAGCCGTTCCAAAGATACGGGGCAAAAAGTGCCGAAAACGGTAACTCAGTTTTTAAGAGAACGGAGCGTCCGATTTTAATAATCCAAACAACATTCGACTTGTATTGACAGGATGAAGAATTGATCAAATTTTCATGAGGGCAGGTCTAGCGATTTCGGAGATCTAACAAAAAAAGTAAAAAAAAATGCCATTTGGCGGTCAAAAATGATCATTAGACATATGCACATCAAATTATCAGATATTTTATAAAGATTTTAACAATAAGTGTAAATTTTGTTTGCATTCCTATGGGTTCCGTACCAATGTTTATTTGTTAGACGGCGACGCGGCGCTTACGCGCTTGGACATTTTGTCTCTATGCAGTTAAAGCAGTACGATTGCTTTGAAAATAAGTTCAGATCTTCCAAAATATGCTAAAATAAAGAAAACATTATTTTTTCCAAAAAAAATTAAAAAAAAAAAATTTTTTTTGAAAAAAATTTTTTTTTAAAAAAAAAGTATTTTTTTGTCCAATTTATAGTTTCTCAAAAATCTTATTTTTTCGAAGTAATTATTTTTTAAAAATGTCAATCGTTTTAAAAAAAATAATAATTTTTGGTACGGGAAGTTCCAGCAATTTGCCTTAAGGCACGATGCCTTTATTGCCTTAAGACAGAATTCCACTTACAGCTAGTTAACTTCCCGTAGGGCAAGTTATAGTAATTGCAAAAAAATCGAAAATGAAAATTTTTGCATTTCTCGATGTTTCAAAGGTTTCTGAATATTTTGGCATACCTTAGAAAAAATGGATGTATGTGTGTGTGTGTGTGTGTGTGTGTGTGTGTGTGTGCGTGTGTGTATGTATGTGCGGATACAAATTTTCGTCGACGATTTCGGGAACACCGATCAACCGATTTGAATAATTCAAAAAACATTCGATTTGTATTGATAAGGAGACGTGCTGATTAGTTTTTGGCGTAGTCAGGTCTAGCCGTTCCGAAGATACGGGGCAAAAAGTGCCGAAAACGGTAACTCAGTTTTTAAGAGAACGGAGCGTCCGATTTTAATAATTCAAAAAACATTTTACTTGTATTGACAAGGTGAAGAACCTATAAAATTTTCATAAAGGCAGGTCTAGCGGTTTCGGAGATCTAATAAAAAAAGTAAAAAAAAATGCCATTTGGCGGTCAAAAATGATCATTAGACATATGCACATCAAATTATCAGATATTTTATAGAGATTTTAACAATAAGTATAATTTTGGTTTACATTCCTATGGGTTCCGTACCAATGTTTACGCGTTAGACGTCGACGCGGCGCTTACGCGGTTTGATATTTCGTCTTTATGCAGTTAAAGCAGTACGATTGCTTTGAAAAAAAGTTTAGATCTTTCAAAATATGTCAAAATGAAGAAAACATTTTTTTACAAAAAAAAAATTAAAAAAAAATTTTTTTTTCAAAAAAAAGTAATTTTTTGTCTAATTGTTTGTCAAAAATCTTATTTTTTCGAAGTAATTTTTTTTCAAAAATGTTAATCGTTTTTAAAAAAATAATAATTTTTGGTACGGGAAGTTCCAGCAATTTGCCTTAAGGCACGATGCCTTAATTGCCTTAAGACAGAATTCCACTTACAGCTAGTTTAATTTCATTTTTCGCAATAATGGGTTTCAGATGCCATATAGGTAACTTTGAAACATCGGATTATTTCTCCTTACAAACCCTGACCAGCTGGTTTCAGAAGATATTTTAAGTGAGTACCTCCATTGTCGATTCGTCAGTAAATTCAATGCGTGTCGAGTTTTCGTGTCTAATGAGGTGTATTTATTTCGGCGCTTTTTATCTTTAGCACATTGCGTGAGACGTGGTTTGTAAACTGTCACGCTGTTCACCGCAATCAATATCGGTAAAACACACTGAATATTTTAGATTACTTAATTACCGTTTTATACACTTAATTTGAAGAGATTTATCAATGATGATGTATGGATGATTTTCAATAATATATGACTAAAAATGTAGCAACGTAAAAATTCTGTAAGTTTAAATTAAACGTACAGAACTTTTACATTGCTATATTTTTAGTCATATATTAAAGGGCGCTTGCTTTAGAGGCTTCGAAAAATCGCTTTTTTGGGGTTTTTAGGGAAAGAAATAATTATCTAATTGGAACGAAACTTTCAGATTTTATAGTTATGTGTTTCAACATTCTTCTCAATTTTTTTCATTAAAATAAATGTCATAATATGCCGGGTAAAAGCATTTTGCCGAGGCGTCACGAGCGTGCATGTGTCCTGAATACAATCAATTTGACCTGCTTGACGCTTGCTCACTATTTCCTCTGTAGCTCTGAAAATAATTTGAATACGTTTCTGATATTTTAGGGATATATTCTTGGCTAGTTTTGGAAGACATTTCTGCAAAAAAAAAACGATTTTTTGCCTTAAACTGTTTAATAGTATTAATACAATATTTATCGCAGAAATATCTGGATACAATAGAAAGTACAATCATAGCATATTCTTCAGATTTTTTTGTGTTGTGTGAGGGTTTGGATAAAAAATATAAACAATGCATTTATTGGACAAAATGGTACGGTGGTCTTACTTAAATAGTGGATAACATCTACGCGACTGTATAACGTGAAGAAAGCCATAATTACAATCCTGTCAGATTTTGAGCGTCATTATCACAGTCAAGAACAAACAAAAATAAATTCTGTCAAGTTATGTCAAGGGTATATTTGGCTTTTAACTTCTACTCAAAGTCTACAAGAAATCATTGCTAAAACAGACCAGAATGAGATTCACCGGTAAAAACAAGAGACTTGCATTTGTTGCAAAATCCTCTTTTTCTGTTCTTAGCTTGGCGAATGTTGGTTACGATGTAAGACTTTGGGTCTATGGTTCAAGTGCTAATGACCCAAAGACAATGATACGATTTCTTTGTGAACTGTTTTCCTAAAAATTAGTATTGCAGTATAGTATGTCCTTACCCTATATTTCATTTTGTTCGTACTTTGTGGAATTCTAACGTCGCTTGTTCAAATGCCAAGTTGAAACCAAAGAAAGTTTTTGATAAATAAAATAATTATACTCAAAATATTTAAATAAAACACTATTCATATTATAGAATTAATAATATACATTTAAGATTATATTATATTGATATACAAATTCCATTATTTTTCATTTAACACGTTAATCGCCACGATAATATCAGAAAAAATCATGTGGTCATGTGCTCTGGTAACTTTATTAGATAAATACGTTAAAAATGTATCAAGAAAACTTAATGTATCAAAGAATTTTTTGCCTGATTCCTACAAAAACGCCATCTTTTATGTTACAGATATATGACTGGCGTGGTTCTATAATTATATTAACCCTTTGTCCTCAAATTAAATTTGGAGATGGATACCATGCCATTCGGACTTAATTTCTGTAGATAGTGAGTGAACAAAGGACCGGAAAGGGTTAACTTTTTTTTCTTGACTAGCCGTGTCAGTCTTATATCTAAACCAAGAAATTTTTAGGTTTTGTTCTTGGTAGGCCAAGCTTTCGAAACATACTGCAAATAAAACGTGATTGACATAGCCTTCTACCAAATTCCGTATGTCAGATACATATACTCGTATATCGTATGTTTAACATCACATATGACTGATATATGAACATTGACGTTTCAAAGAGTGTTTTTAGGGAGGGCAAGAGATTTCAGTTTTCGTTTAAAACATTTAAAAGAACTGTATCTTATCTATCTGTTTTTATTGAACCCTAAAATTGGACATATAATTTACTTACTATGCTTTATTGTTTGTATGGAGCTGAGAGAACCTTGTCCAACATCGCTGTTTTCTCTCGTAAAATCTTTTTGAACTCTTTCTAAAGCTATAATACAAAAATCAAAATTATTTATATGAATTTAATAAAAAAATTCTATTATCATATAAATATAACCTCCTTGTAGATCCATGTCATCTAACTCTGCGTTTTGTATTCTTGCCAGTTGTGTTCGGAATTTCCGCGCCAACTTCTTTCTCTGGTAATCGGCTTCGATGTCCTGTTTAGTGCGAGGTATTCTGAAACGGACGCAGCAACATAACATTACCACTGAAATATAGAAGAAAATAGACAACATAATAACATCGACTGGATAATTATAATGACAATTTTTTGCTTTGAAATTTTATTATCGCAGGTGACGAAGTATATAATATAGTAACATTAAATTTCCTAATGTTTGTTCATATTTAGACAAGAAATCTCGATTAACTTCTCGTGACGATAAAATAAAATCACTAGTGCATAATGTCTAAAAACAAATTGCTGTACCTTTCCGTACCGTAATTTAAAATTTTTAGGAACTATAAAATTTCTTGAAAATTTTGAAAAGAATTTTTTTTGAAGTTTTTGAATATTTTGTATTTGTTTTAAGACTTCTGATAATTTTGATTTTTTTCTTAACTTCCCGTAGGGTAAGTTATAGTAATCGTCCAAAAATCGAAATCAAAAATTTTTACATTTCTCGACGTTTCGAAGGTTTCTGAACATTTTGGCATACCTCAGAAAAAATGGATGTGTGTGTGTGTGTGTGTGTGTGTGTTTTGTATGTCCGCGTTTTTTCGTCCACGTTTTCCTATTGATAGGGAGATGTGCTGATTAGTTTTTGGCAGAGGTAGGCCCAGAGGTTTTGGAGTTACAGAGCTAAATTTAAAAAAAATGGCTGTTTTTGAGAGAACTAAGCGTCCGATTTAAATGATTCAAAGAACTTTCTGCTTTTTTCAACAAAACAATTGATTTTGGAAAAAAAAAATTTTTGTTTCTAATTTTTTTTCAAAAAAATTTTTTTGTAATTTTGGACTAAAAATTCAAAAAATCACCCAAGCTAAGCACAGTCTAAGCGCCACTCTGGTAGAAATGTTTACGCAAGTGCGTTTAGACTGTTTGTGTACTGGAGCACTTTTCCAATTTTGTGAAAATTATTGAAAAATGTGAAAATGCCGCCAAACTGAGCACAGTATAAGTAAAAATGTCGCACAGAATTATTTGCAAATGCGTTTAGACTGTGACTATGCGGGAGCACTTTTTCAATTTTGTGTAAATTTGGCAACTATTTTTTTTTGGAATTTGATTCGAAATGAAATGACGATTGTTAATGTTCTGGAGATCATAAATTGATTAATTTATAATTAACTTTCCATAGGGTAAGTAATCGCAAAAAAATCGAAAATGAAAATTTTTATATATCTTCACGTTTCAGAGGTTTCTGAATATGTTGGCATACCTTGGAGAAAATTGATGTATGTGTGTGTGTGCGTGCATGTGTGTGTGTTCGGATACAAATTTTCGTCGACGATTTCGGGAACACGGATAAAGCAATTTGAATAATTCAAAAAACATTCTAGCCGTTCCGAAGATATGGGGCAAAAAGGGCCAAAAACGGTAACTTAGTTTTTAAGAGAACGGAGCGTTCGATTTGTATAGTTCAAAAAACATTTTACTTGTATTAACAAGATGAAGATTTGATCAAATTTTCATGAAGATAGGTCTAGCGGTTTCTGAGATCTAGTAAGAAAAAACTAAAAAAAATAACATTTGGCGGTCAACAATAATCATTAGACATTAGACATATGCATATCAAATTATCAGATATTTTATTGAGATTTTTACAATAAGTATAAGTTTTGTTTACATTCCTATGGGTTCCGTACCATTGTTTTTCTGTTAGACAGCGACGCGGCGCTTACGCGCTTTATATTTTGTCTCTATGCAGTTAAAGCAGTACGATTGCTTTGAAAAAAAGTTCAGATCTTCCAAAATATATAAAAATGAAGATAACATTTTTTCCAAAAAAAATTTTTTATAAAAAAAATTGTTTAAAAATTTTTTTTTAAAAAAAAATTTTATTTTCAAAAAAAGTAATTTTTTGTCCAATTTAAAATTTCTAAAAAATCTTATTTTTTCGAAGTAAATTTTTTTCAAAAATGTTAATCGTTTTTAAAAAAATAATAATTTTTGGTACGGGAAGTTCCAGCAATTTGCCTCAAGGCACGATGCCTTAATTGCCTTAAGACAGAATTCCACTTACAGCTAGTTTATTTTTTTTTTTGTATATTTTAAAACTTTGATTTTCTTCAAAGCGATTACGCTCCGTAGCTGTTTTAGATATGAAATATCGAAGCCCGTAAGCGCGGCGTCGCAATCTCTAACGGTTGAACATTTTAATCTTGGTGTCATAGAAATATAAACAAAATTTGAACTTTTTATTAAAATCTTTAAAGTGTCTGATAATTTGATGTGTACATGTCTAATATTCATTTTTGACCACCAAAAGGCATTTTTGTTAAAACTTTTTTCATTGGATCTCCGAAACCGCTGAACCTGCCTTCCCAAAAATTTAATCAATACAACTGCAATGCTTTTTGAATCATTCAAATCGGACGTTCCGTTCTGTCAAAAACTGAATTGGCATTTTTTGCACTTTTATCTCGTATCTTCGAAACGGCTGGTCGAATTCTTAAATCATTCAAATCCTAAATCCATGCTCTCAAAATCATGATCAAAAATTGTATCTGCACATACATACGCACACACAAATACATTATATTTTTCTAAAGTAGGCCAAAATATTCAGAAACCCCTAAAACGTAATGATATGAAAAAAATATTTTCTATTATTTCGCAATTACTATAACTTACTCTGCGGTGGTAAGTCAATAAGAAAATTTACGAATGACCTCTTTCACGGAGCATTCTGTTTCTAGTTTATATATTATATTATAAAACGCTTGGTGTATAATAATTTACAATAATCATAGAATAATAGTCAAATTAAAAATAATGCAAATAAAAATAATATGATAAAATTTATTCATTTACCTTATTGTTATTAAAAAAAAATACTTTCCGATAATTTATTGCCGCTTGCCGTTCCGATTTAGCACGGATTTCATATAGCTCTATTATAAAAATATTACAAAATATGATTATAGAGTATAATCAATACTTTTACATTAATATTTCATTTGATTTGATAATTAGATTTTTAGCGATAGGCACACCTATCTCATCAACGCCTCCATGATTTCCATTCGCGCCATGCAAACACGATTCTATTGTATGTAGTGGTCGGCGAATTCTCAGGAATTTATTAATCGATTTATAGTGACGATCAGCCATATTTAATAAGTGTGATTTTCACCTCTAATCTATTTAAAACTACTATTTTTACATTTAAAAATCGATAAGTACGATGTTATTATCCTTATTTAGTCGATTGATTTGTAATAAAATGTCAATTGTGATAGTCAATTTTAATCCCATGTCTAATATGGAATAATAAAGTGTAATATTTGCTACAGTATTTTATAATTTTTCATATTATTTTTCATATATAATATGAAAAATTATAGTCTTAAAACTAGGAACTGCCCAAGATTTTTTTTGTTAGATGTAGGGTAAAGCGGAGTTTAAAGGCCCGCGGGTTAAAAGGCCCACCGCAGATATCTTAATAGCAGGTAAAGTTAAAGATTTTTTAACAACGATTTGAAAGTAGAAAGAAAAAGATAACACTATAGCCATCACCTTGATTCTTACGACGTCGCCTTCGGTAGATAAACGGCAATGTTTGAGAATCTATGACAAAAGCATTTTCTTTTGTTGTTAGTTTATTTTTTGTGAGCCATGTGGTTTAGTTTACGAAACCGTAAAATAATTGTTAAGTATGCGTTATTTAATTTTTGTCCCTATTACGGCTGACAATTGTAAATCAACAAATTTGCTAAATGTCTGGACAGTTGTAAATATAGCAGTGAATAAAAAAAATAATTATTTCATAAGATATATTGTTAATTTTAAGTTAGATTCAACAGTTTTTTATATAACCTTTATGAAAGCTCACATGTGGGTGGGATAAAAAGTACCATCTGATCCCTGACAAGGGTATAAACAATAAAAGATAGTAAAGAAAAAAGTAAATTGGGTTAAAAATACAATTTTACAAGAGATACGTCAAATAAATTGTTATTCCAACTCTGCTGATGATTATTTCTAGATCTAGGGTTTATAGATATATACTACTATTACTAGATCTAGGGTTTATAGATATATACTATAAAAGTTTATCTCTGTAAAAAATGTATCCATAAAACTTATATTTTGCATTGGTTGAATAATATAGCTATTATTTTGTAAAAACCCTTTAAAATTAATATAAGACATTTGACCTGTTTGCGCATTGACTGTCCCATTTCACCCCGCCTGTGGAGTAAAAAGGACCAGGATTCAAATTTTGGAAAAACAGCAAAAAACACAATTCTACAATGATGAATTAGCCAAAAGTTTATATATGTTATTTAATATATTGTCATATAATTGGCTTGGTTTTCACAATTTAATTGTTTAAAGTCAAATTGGACCTTGTGCTCTATCCCTACCCTACGTAATATTTTACATAATCCTGAAATTTAATTAAATATACCAAAAAAATGATTTGAGCAAAAAAAATTTTGTTTCCTTACCTAAGCTCAACAGCGCGGAGAAGCAAAAAAATAGAATGTGCCAGACTCGGAAACCAGCTATTGTTTGTTGCTCTAACCAAGCTGGCTCACCATTAGGAAGAGTCGTAGATGATGCTTCGGCCATTTTTCAAGCTTTTATAATATTGTTTTGAATAACGCGTCACAGTTGTAAAACTATTTTAAATGTAATTTATCAGTAGTCGTTTTAGATTCTTCTTAAATCCTAAAGCATTATACACCCAAAACAACACCTTAATCGAACTGTACTTAACTAAATGAATTATGATCAAAATATAATATTTGTAACACCTTTTGATGTTTTTTTCGTATTTGAGAATTTCATGTTTTATTCTGGATTAGTGAAAGTTAATATACAATTAAAAGTTGAATTAAAAATTTCATAATATTTAAAGCACTTCAATTTTTCACCAAACTAAACATTGGTTAAATGATGGTTATTTTATTTTGAATGGTTTATGAAAACGACACGTTTAGTCTACTTAAGTTATAATAACATTTCGTTTAGCACAATTATACTTTATGAAATATTAATTATTTCAAAACTTCATAAAAATTTTATTCACACAGACAAATCTGTTGGAGCGGCGGGTCGGGACTGCGTGTGCAGGGCGCCTGATGCCTGCGGCTTGTGGAATTAATTCTTTATACATCATTCGTGCGAGTAAATGTTATATCACATTTCGGGCTGATAAAGGAGTGGTGCTATGTCAAACGGCACCCTCGCACAAGGAGTGTCTTAGATAGCATAACCCACCCGCGATCATTTGACACGCAGAAAACACATAATAAAACAACACGTTATAAACTGAAACTGACTTATTATTATATTGAACTGTCGCAGGTCGCAGATGATTAGCAGGATACAACTAGCTGTAAGTGGAATTCTGTCTTAAGGCAATTAAGGCATCGTGTCTTAAGGCAAATTGCTGGAACTTCCCGTACCAAAAATTATTATTTTTTTTAAAACGATTGACATTTTTAAAACAAATTTACTTCGAAAAAATAAGATTTTTGAGAAACTATAAATTAAACAAAAAATTACTTTTTTTTGAAAAAAAAAATTTTTTCAAAAAATTTTTTTTTTTTTTTTTTTTTTTAATTTTTTTTGGAAAAAATAATGTTTTCTTCTTTATTTTGGCATATTTTGGAAGATCTTTTTTATCAATCGTACTGCTTTAACTGCATAGAGACAAAATGTCAAAGCGCGTAAGCGGCGCGTCGCCGTCTAATGAATAAATATTGGTACGGAACCCATAGGAATGCAAACAAAATTTATACTTATTGTTAAAATCTCTATAAAATATCTGATGATTTGATGTGCATATGTCTAATGATCATTTTTGACCGCCAAATGGCATTTTTTTTTACTTTTTTCGTTAGATCTCCGAAACCGCTAGACCTGCCCTCATGAAAATTTGATCAATTCTTCATCTTGTCAATACAAGTCAAATGTTTTTTGAATTATTAAAATCGGACGCTCCGTTCTCTTAAAAACTGAGTTACCGTTTTCGGCACTTTTTGCCCCGTATCTTTAGAACGGCTGGACCTGCCTTCGCCAAAAACTAATCAGTACGTCTCCTTATCAATACGAATCGAATGTTTTTTGAATTATTCAAATCGGTTGATCCATGTTCCCGAAATCGTCGACGAAAATTTGTATCCGCACATACATACACACACGTACATACATACATACATACACACACACACACACACATACACACACACACACACTCACACACACATACATCCATTTTTTCTAAGGTATGCCAAAATGTTAAGAAACCTTTGAAACGTAAAGATATATAAAAATTTTCATTTTCGATTTTTTTGCGATTACTATAACTTACCCTACGGGAAGTTAATAACACTCAATGACACTGCTCCAGAATATTACACCGGCATGACACGTCTTAAACATGAAATTTTTTATTGTTCATTAACTTGGGTGTAAGTTATAGTAATCGCAAAAAAACCGAAAATGAAAATGTTTATATATCCTTACGTTTCAGGGGTTTCTGTACATATTGGCATACCTTAGAAATAATGGAAGTATGTTTGTGTGTGTGTGTGTCTGTGTGTGCGTGTGTGCGGATACAATTTTTTGTCGACGATTTCACGAACACAGATCAACGGATTTGAATAATTCAAAAAACATTCCTACTGATAAGGAGACGTGCTGATTAGTTTTTGGCAAAGGCAGGTCTAGCCGTTTCAAAAATACCGGGCACAAAGTGTCAAATGTGGTATTGCAGTTTTTCACGAAAATCTTGAAACTGGTGAAATTTTTGTCAAGGCCGGTCTAGCGCCTGCGGAGATCCATTAAAAAAAGTAAAAAAGAATGTCAATTGGCGGTCAAAAGTGATCATTAGACATATGTACATCGTATTATCAGATATTTTATAAAGATTATAATAATAAGTAAACATTTCCGTATCAATGCTTTTACGTTAGACGACTACGCGGCGCTTACGCGCTTTGTTCATGTCGACTCTAGATTAGCTATGCAACGCGATTGCTTTTAAAAAATGTTCAAAATTTTACAAAAATAATCAAATTAAAAAAAAAAGTTTCAAAATTTTTCAAAAAATTTTAGTTTTTTTATAAAAAATATTTTTCGAGCATTAGATACCATTCACTTGCACTGATGGAATGAAAAATTTATTAAATTTTTTCGAAGGAGGATCCAGCGTTTTCCGAGATGTAAAAATGTATAAAAAATGCAATTGGTGGTTAAAAATAATCATTACAAATAATTATTATTGATTCATATACAAAAGGTAGGCGGGTAGACAGATAGATAAGTCTTATCGAGTTACATCGGATTTTAGATATTTGAAATTTGTGCAGCCGTTTTAGAGAAAACGTCGTTCTAAGGTCAAATTCCGGGTCACATATACACAAATCATACTTTTTATCTTTTTGCTAGACTAAGAATTCTAAACTTGAGTTTATATTTTCGCCAGAGAGTCTAAAATGCTAATTTTATATTTTCTTGGCGTTTGATGTCATTCTGAATTATTTGAGACTAACACTGGAAAAAGTGTGTGTTCGTGAGTCATATTTTGACATTGATGTTTTCTCAAAAAAGTGCCAAACCGATTTCAGAAATTTAAAAACCATTCGATAAAACTTGATAAGGAAGAGCGTTGATTTGCTTTGCGGGATGATCTGCCGAGCCGTTTCTTTGAAGACAGAAAAGTGCAAAAATTTTCGCCCACGTTTTCGTAAAAAATCTTGAACCAATTTTGACAATTTAAAACCCGTTATTAATAAAGTGAATCGTATTGTTATGTTTTTTGGTAAATATCTGAGATCTCTTTTTCGTAATAAACTGGTGAAATATGTTTTTGTTTAGTGCTAATCACTTCTTGTAAAACAAGTTTGCCTAAAAAATCTTAGCTGTTAAATACTTAATTATAAAGAAAAATCTCGATTGATCATCTCAAAACTATGAAATTTTATCAAACTACTATCTTTTTTTTTCATTGGCCTCGCTTACTCGAGCATTTAGCCACTTACATTATTCTACAATCATATCCTATACAATCTTCAATATCATGCTATCTTCTTCATATTCTTCATATACTTCTTAACTTATCTTCATTCTTCTTCCTTCTTCTTCACTATCTTCTTTATCTCATTTAATCTTAATACACTTCCTTTTCTTCTACTATATTTCTCATTTCATCTTCTAAATTCTTCTTACTTCAATTGATTTTAATTTAATTTCTAATTCTTTAATTTTTATACCTCGTTAATCGTAGCTGGCTAATCTCGCCACTACTACTATTAAAAATTTTTAATTAGTGGAAAACGCTCCGGTGAAAAAATTTATATAAATCTCGCAAATCGCGAGTTGAAAGGGTTATAAACGGTCATACAAATCGTCTAGGATTGCAAACTTCTTATCCAATATTCAACTTCTTCATTAAGTTAAGCATTAGATTTTTGCGATAGATTACAATGATATACGATTAAAAGGCAACTAATTTGTTTTTTAAGAGCTTTTTTCACTATAGAATTTTAATGTACAATTGTAAATTATTACTAGATATCATGTTAATGTATTAGTTAATTAATATATTTTTGGTATGATGCATTTTAGTACATAAATCAGCTAGCAAATAACTCAATTCTCGATAACATTTCTAAAATCCGTTAAGATGTAGAGATAATAATACGTGTCGAATTTATTTTATAGGCTTCATCATTTTCAGTAGAGGAGACTGGGTGCGGTTGTGTCACTTTTTTATCAGCAATAATTTTGTTAATTTACCAGTTAGCTGGGAAAAAGGTAAATTAAATGGTAATTTGAACATTTGTCTACGAGGCAATACTAAATTATCAGAAATATGTAATACAACACAATATAATCATTTACACAAAGCTTATGAATGTAATATAACAATATATTATATAACAAAATATATTTTTTATAATATATTTTTAAACAAGAAATCTTTGTGAATTTTTTTGTTTTCTTGTATTGAATTTTCCTTTCCCTTACTCTTTTGTATTTTGTCTTAGTTTATTTAGATTTTTTTATCTGTTTAAATTTCACCCAAAAAAGAAAAAGAATTATATGTTACAAGTCACAACATATACATAAAATAAAACTAATTGCTGAAAATTAACTGCTTGTTAACTTCCCGTAGGGTAAGTTATAGTAATCGCAAAAAAATAGAAAATGAAAATTGTTATATATTTTACGTTTCAGAGGTTTCTGAATATTTTGGCATACCTTAGCAAAAATGGATGTATGTGTGTGTGTATGTGTGTGTGTGTATGTGCGTGTATGTGTGTGTATGTGTGTGTGTGTGTGTGTATGTGTGTTCGGATACAAATTTTCATCGACGATTTCGGGAACACGGATGAAGCGATTTGAATAATTCAAAAAACATTTTGCTTGTATTAACAAGATGAAGAACTGATCTATTTTCATAAAGGCAATTCTAGCGGTTTTGGAGATTTAGTAAAAAAAAGTAAGAAAAATGCCATCTGGCGGTCAAAAATAATCATTAGACATATGCACATCAAATTATGAGATATTTTATAGAGATTTTAACAATAAGTATAAATTTGGTTTACATTCCTATGGGTTCTGTAAAAATGCTTATCCGTTAGACGGCGGCTCGGCACTTACGCGCTTCGATATTTCGTCTCTATGCAGTTAAAGCAGTACGATTGCTTTGAAAAAAAGTTCAGAATTTCCAAAATATTTCATAATACACTTTTCTTCGAGAAGTCTTTTTTTCCACAAAAAAGTAAATTTTTGTCAAAAAATTATAGTATCTAAAAAATTTAATTTTTCAGAATAATTTTTTTTCAACTAGCTGTAAGTGGAATTCTGTCTTAAGGCAATTAAGGCATCGTGCCTTAAGGCAAATTGCTGGAACTTCCCGTACCAAAAATTATTATTTTTTTAAAAACGATTAACATTTTTGAAAAAAATTTACTTCGAAAAAATAAGATTTTTGACAAACAATTAGACAAAAAATTACTTTTTTTTGAAAAAAAAAAAGTTTTTTTAATTTTTTTTTTTTGAAAAAAAAATGTTTTCTTTATTTTGACATATTTTGAAAGATCTAAACTTTTTTTCAAAGCAATCGTACTGCTTTAACTGCATAAAGACGAAATATCAAACCGCGTAAACGCCGCGTCGACGTCTAACGCGTAAACATTGGTACGGAACCCATAGGAATGTAAACCAAAATTATACTTATTGTTAAAATCTCTATAAAATATCTGATAATTTGATGTGCATATGTCTAATGATCATTTTTGACCGCCAAATGGCATTTTTTTACTTTTTTCATTAGATCTCCGAAACCGCTAGACCTGCCTTTATGAAAATTTGATCGGTTCTTCACCTGGTCAATACAAGTAAAATGTAAATGTAAAATCCGTTCTCTTAAAAACTGAGTTACCGTTTTCGGCACTTTTTGTCCCGTATCTTCGGAACGGCTAGACCTGACTTCGCCAAAAACTAATCAGCACGTCTCCTTATCAATACGAATCGAATGTTTTTTGAATTATTCAAATCGGTTGATCTGTGTTCCCGAAATCGTCGACAAAAATTTGTATCCGCACATACATACACACACGCACATACACACACACACACACACACACACATACATACATTTTTTCTAAGGTATGCCAAAATATTCAGAAACGTCGAGAAATGCAAAAATTTGCATTTTCGATTTTTTTGCGATTACTATAACTTGCCCTACGGGAAGTTAAAAATGTTAATCTTTTTAAAAAAAATAATTTTTGGTACGGGAAGTTCCAGCAATTTGCCTTAAGGCACAATGCCATGCGTCCCACTAGTTTACAGTTACAATTACAGCAAAATAACAAACAAAGTGGTCTAACTGTATCTGTATATAGATAACAGTTATTATTGAAACAAATCGAACAAGTAAACTTACTTTTGGCTCTTCAAAAGCAATTCGGTCTACAGATCATGTTATTGTAGGGCGCTGACTCAAAGCAATAATGGAAACTTGTTCGAACAAAGATACTTAATCTTTCTTCTATTGGACCGTATATCAAATTTAGTATATTTTAGCTGTTATGACGACTGTCCCTACCGTAACCTGGCACAACCGACACAAGTCTCCCTTATTGAGCTGAATGGTTATAACTAAATTGAGATCAGTGGCTGATCCAGCATTGTCGCCGGGGGGTGGGCGAGTTTCCACATAATTGAGAGGTTTTTATAGACCTTAATGAGTATGAATCGAACTTTTATATAATTTTATCAGTTTGTTTTTCACTTTTTGAAGTAGAAGTTTATGTTACCGCCAGATAATCTAAATTACTAAAACTTTGTGAGTTCTCGACGTTTCAAGTCATTCTGAATCGTGTGAGACAAAATTTAGAAAAAGAATGTGTTTGTGTGTATGTTGGCCAATTTTTGACGTTTTCTCAAAAGCTACTGAACCGATGTCAAACATTTAAAAGCCATAAATATAAGCCACACCTTTCTTAAATGGAAAATGCAAAATTTTCCATCACGTTTTACCAAAAATACTTAATCAATTTTAATAATTCAAAAACTGTTCGTAAGATATCAGTTGGAAGTAGTGCTGATTCGTTTTTGGTAAAGTATTTCTTTGTAATTAATTGCTGAAATTGCTTTTTTGACGTTTGAAGTTTGAAACTTCATATGATAATAAGAATCACGGTCTTAAAGAACGTACTAAAATATTTGGGCCTTACGACAAGTGCTATAATTTTGAAAGTGTATCAAAGTTTGAAAAAATTAGCTGCGTATTATTGACGTGAATCAAAGTTTGGCCATTCGTCGACGTTTTTCTCGGCTAAACCGATTTTAAAACTTACCCATTCGTTGAAATCGCACAAACACTTACGTTGATTAGTTTTTTGAGATAATCGGCTTTTCTTTACAAATGGAAAAAAATTGCAAAAAATTTTGTCAATATTTTTGTATAAAATTCTCAATCGATTTTAAAAATTCAAAAACTATGCAAAAATTGTTTGACGAATAAATAAATCTTTTCACGGCGATAGAGTTCTTTCTTTAATTGAACATTCTAAAATATTAAGGCATGTGGTATAGTTATGATAAATAAAATTTGAATTAAACGGCCGCGCTTTTAGAAAATACTTTGTGTTAGGCTCATGTTCGGTTTTCACTAATGTGTAATATTTAAACCATTTATCGAAAATAACTAACATATTTGGAAAATTTGTAAAAAAATAAATATTTGTTTATTAGCAGATGTCAGAAAGTCCATGCCTTAAGGCCACTTACACTTATTATTAGTTTAATTTTCCGATTTTTCCAAATTTTTCGTTTGCAAGTTTCCTAAACGATAATACCCAACTCTCAACTCAGAATAATGTATAAGGCCAATATTTGCAATACGATTACGAAACCCTTAAATTTTAGAAGTTTTACTCCGTCATTTACCTATATTAATTCAATTATCATTATAATTGATATAATTATAATATATTATTACAAAATGTATGTGGTTACATAATATACAGGGTGTCTCAGACCTTGACGTCAAGCCGAAAAGGGGTGATAGTATTGACCTTAACTGTCCTGAGAAAAATTAGAAAAAATTATTATCTCACATTGTTTGAAAATTATGAGCTTTTAAGTGCAACCAAAATATTACCATTTTTTGGTTATAGTGATTAATTTTTATTAATTTCGTTCATTTAAAAAGAAACACAGTGAAAAAAATTACACAATTTTTCCAAGTTTTTAAGAATTGAAAGTTTTTTTTGAACATAAATTTAAATTTTTTTAAGTCGGTCAACTATGAGACGCCCTCCTTCAAAAAAGTACTAAAGTGTATTGGCAAGTTTGATCAAAAGTTAGCGCATTTAATCAGAATTGTAAAATACTCGATCATTAACTTCCCGTAGGGCAAGTTATAGTAATCGCAAAAAAATCGAAAATGAAAATTTTTATATATCTTTACGTTTCAAAGGTTTCTGAACATTTTGGTATATCTTAGAAAAAATTGATGTATGTGTGTGTTTGTGTGTATGTATGTATGTACGTGTGTGTATGTATGTGCGGATACAAATTTTTGTCGACGACTTCGGGAACACGGATCAACCGATTTGAATAATTCCAAAAACATTCGATTCGTATTGATAAGGAGACGTGCTGATTAGTTTTTGGCGCAGGGAGATCTAGCCGTTCCGAAGATACGGGGCGGTTAAAATCTCTATAAAATGATAATTTGATGTGCATATGTCTAATGATCAGTTTTGACCGCCAAATGGCATTTTTTTTTTACTTTTTTCGTTATATCTCCGAAACCGCTAGGCCTGCCCTTATGAAAATTTGATCAAATCTTCATCTTGTCAACACAAGTGAAATGTTTTTTGAATTATTAAAATCGGACGCTCCGTTCTCTTAAAAACTGAGGTACCGTTTTTGGCACTTTTTGCCCCATATCTTCGGAACGGCTAGACCTACCAACGCCAAAAACTAATCAGCACGTCTCCTTATCAATACGGATCGAATGTTTTTTAAATTATTCAAATTGCTTCATCCGTGTTCCTGAAATCGTCGACGAAAATTTGTATCTGCACACACATACATACTACGCACACACACACACACACACACACACACACACACACATACATCCATTTTTTCTAAGGTATGCCAAAATATTCAGAAACCTCTGAAACGTAAAGATATATAAAAATTTTCATTTTCGATTTTTTTGCGATTACTATAACTTACCCTACGGGAAGTTAATAAAATCATTATGAAGTAATTTTATTGTTGGATTAGTGAACAAACTAAGTTTTAAACTCCGGCTCTGGAGGGGTCACGACTCCCCACAACTGATTGAGATTAAATTTAAATTGAATTATATAAGAAGATTGTACGTAAAAGCCAAAAACGTAATAATATAACGTCCAGATATGGCGCCGATAGGGTCTTTGTCGTAGACGTAGAGCCCGTAGAGCCAAGAGCAGTGTCCAAGTGCTTAGTTGTGACTCAATAGCGTGATATCCAGTGTTTGTTATTGGTGAAAAAAGCGCGCGCGGTGCCTGACATAGCGCCAGTTGATATTTGCATCAAAACACCCATCTGGTGGCACATTAGCTAACTGCTGCCATTTCACATTCCCCTATTAAGGAGGGTGTCGAATCATTAATCTAACCTTTTAAATAATACTTTATTTAGCGCTCGCCGTCAAGAAATGCTCGATTCGTGATGACATCGTACATATTAGCTTTAGTTTAAGTGCAGTGTTATTGTGATTATGTGGCTAATCGAGTCAAAATCGGTAAAATAAGTGCACTGTTTTCAACATGGCTTCGTCGAATCGCGGGATTCAGATCGGCTCGGCGTGGTTTCAGAGGAAAATAAACTTACGACCTCAGCACAGGGGCGTACATTTAGTGACAGAAGAAATTCTTAGGCAAATGCCGGAATTGGGACAATTCTCGGTCGGCTTGTGCCATGTACAAAGTGAGTTGAAAACTGTGTCAAATGTCTTCTTTCATTTGCATACCTTTCAACCCAGGAATGATAGCGGGATAAAAATTTACTCTCTATATCAGTAAATCGTATTGGCATTTGGATAATAACCATTACCCGATCCTTATTTTCGACGTGTACCATTGTCATGTGCTTTTTATCAATTGGCCAAAAATTTGAGCAGTTCATACTGTCTGGTTTAATCACGACTTTTCAGTAATTTTTTGGTCCAATGCAATTTTTATGATTGGCATTAAATATTCTTTGACAGTATATTGCTAAGTGATGACATAATATTGTATTATTGTTATTGTTACAAGATAATAGAAATCACCACATATTACAAACTAAAAATGTCAAAAATTCGATTGTAATGTTCATTAGTTTAAAACTAAAACGTTAAAATTTGTTTTTATTGTATGGAAATTAATACATTTTTGCTTTTTAAATTAACATATAGCTATTTTTTGTGGCAGTGCGATTTCAATATGATAGGAACAACTAAGTTCAAATTTATTTACCGTCTAGTAATGATTGTCGTGAGTCACGTATAATGCATTAAAGCAATTTTTTTAAATATTTTATTTCCTATTTTCATGTTAAGAACTCAAAACATGTATTAATGGTAGTTTTCAAATTCTTACGACACAAAACTCCCAGAAAATATATTTGTACATCTGTATTCTAATCTAGAACAAGTTTGTTTGTATGCCTTAATAATTTATCACAAAATTCTTATGTTATATTATTTTTATTTTAGTTTTGCACACATCAGCAAGTTTAGCTTTAAATGAGAGTTGGGATCCCGATGTCAGGTTAGTATTTTAAAAAGGCTGCTGATAGAAATGTCAATAGTCGTATATAGTTTAATAAAATTTATTAATTTCATTTTTTTTAATAGGGATGATATGGAAATGATGTTAAACAAAATTGTGCCCGAAGGATTACCTTATAGACATTCTTGTGAAGGACCTGATGATATGGTATGTGAGTTATAGTTTGTTACTTGTTATGCATAATGTAAATTAAAATTTTTCAGGATTTTATTTATTTTTAAAGTTGATAACATGAATATGTATGAGGTAGTTTTTTTTTTGTTGTTTCCTATGTATTTCCTATTTAATAGAATTAAAAGTACACACAACTTGATTAATATCATTTTACAACTGTTGTATCATATTTCTTTTTACTGATCAAAGGGTGATGCATGCCATATTTTTTACCTTAGCCTTGCAAAAACGTATTGGAGTGAAAGATTTGTACTTCAGAGGATAATGCGCTATATGTTATTAGAATAAACTTGTTAACATATTTCCAAACTGTTTTCTAAATATTTTAGAAAATTGTTCATGTTCAAAAAAACATAGCATAGAAGTTATTCCATTGCACCATCATTAATAATGAGAAATGTATTTTTAATTTGTGTTTTCACAAATTTATATATTCAGAATTTAAATATGTCATACCTATACTTTCTTTATATTGCTCAGAAAAGAAGTAAATAAATATTTCTAGCTCTTCTAAATAAGTTACTAATTATTTACTTCAATTTTTAATCAGATATCATTTAAATGCTGCTTAAACATTATTTTGATTATAACTTTATTTAATGGATTTTTAAACCTATTACTAGCCAGCGCATGTAAAAGCCTGCTTTCTGGGATCATCACTGACAATACCAATAGCTGATGGCAAGTTATCCCTGGGTACATGGCAAGGCGTATGGCTATGTGAACACAGAGACCATGCAGGATCTCGAAAACTAGTCATCACTTTAACGGGTTGTGCGCGAGATTCCGCGCGGTCTCCCATGTCTCCTGTTTCACCAATGGCAAGTACGTCCAGTTAGGGACACGCCCCCTCGGATAGAGGGCCTCCTTCTAGGGGGCACTCACAGCCACCCTCTAGACCACCGTCCTCTAGAGCTAGGAAGAGGTAATTAATTATTCAACAGATCAAATTATTAGTGAAGATAAATTTTAATATCGGCACATGTGTAAAATCTTATTAGATGAACAAAATATTAGTGAAGATACATTTGATTGTCGACATATGATTGTCAGTGTTACAGTTAAACAGCTATTGATTACCCTTAAAAACCTGATTTGTAGTGATTTATTGGCTTGCCTTTAGTTAAAATGTGATAGGCTTTGTGTTTGCGGGTTGCAAAATGAAAACATTGACTACTAAGTGGTTTTCAGAATAGAATCTTTGCTGTAAATTTATCTCATGGATCAGTCATTTAGCATTAGCTGAATATGTCTGAAATATTGTTTAATTTCCAGCAACATTAATTATTACTAAAGTCGACTGAAAAATAATCTTTGTACTTGTGAGGAGCATTTTATAATGCACCAATTTGTCGACATAACACTTGTTTTAGTTAATGAGCTTCAACTACAAATTTTAATTTTAGTACATTCAATTGATATACATACAGTTTTAATCATGTTGTACTATACATATTAATTTAATAACTCTGTGATATTCAGAAATTTGATATTTGAAAACATGATATTTTATTTAAATTTACCTTGAAATGAGTTGCATTATTGGATTTGTCATATCATAAGGAGTTTTAATCTATATATTCTTTGTGTACTTAAAAATTCTGTGCATATCACATATCATTGGTGTGATTTGAATGGTAGCAATATTTTTTTTTGTTTTCCGCGAGCTCAACGTCTTATCCAGTGTCCATTACATGTAGGATGTCCGTCACCCGTACATTGAAATGTGGAATATTATTTCAGTAATGTTTGTATAGTGTTTGAAACATTGTAACATTAACAGAGCACAAATTAATATATGAAGAATGAAGTTGCGTAGTGGTTTCAAATTGTGACATGTATCTTGACTGCAATTTGGCTTGATCTTTAAGAGTGGTTTGTGGTTCCTTGTATAACGTCCATGAGTTAGATTTCGGATTGTCTTTTAATTCCAGCCATTGTAATTAATTTATCCTAGTGATAAATAAAAGTTTTACTATTACAAACAAAAATAATTGATACACGTCCATCATACTTAAAATAATTTTATTACATGAATTATTTCAATGTTGCATCATGCTATTCAAAATTTATCTGAACAAAAGATGACATTGAGAAAAATGTTATGAGCGATTTAGCAATAAAATCAAGTAGAATTCTTTGCTGTCAGGTCTTAATTTACATTCAGGTCTTTCAATATTTGTATAAGAAATAGAAGTATTTATATGAACTTATATAGAGTGCATATAATATATGATGTATCCATTATGATATTAAAAATTAATAATACATTAATATTATTACATATGATTGAAGTTCATATAATAGATACAGGAAGAAATTCAAACAAATGTTTGTGTGAACACCAATTATATAGTAATAATACACTTGTAAATGTGGCTTCTTACTAGAAATATCCCAATGATAACCTCATTAAGGTGTTGACACCTTCTTGACAATTAGACCAATTATTCTATTTTTAACTACTTTTTATGATGAAGGAAATACACATTGTGATTATATCTTCAATGCCATATGAATAATATAAGTTATTATAGCCAGTTCACATTGGCAGTTAGATAATGTGATGATTCTAATTTGTATATAGGTATGCACTTGTTTTTAAAATTATTAGGATTTAGTTTGATACGAGAGTGCATGTGATGTTTGAATTTTGTTACTGCCATGTTATGTATATTATCAATAAGAAACTCTATTTAATTGATTTTTGATATATTATTTTGTATTGTATTGCTCTTTTATATTCAATTCAGTTGAATCGATATTAATTCACATTGAAATATGAGCAAAGATCTATTTCAAATTCAAAACATGCGTGTATAATATATATATATATATATATATATATATATATATATATATATATATATGTGTGTGTATATGCAAGAGGCTAATGGCAAAAATGTTAGTTTACAGATAAGATATGGCTAAAATGATAATTGAATTAGTAACCAAGTGGTCATTGAAGTATATTAAGTTTTGATTTGATTTTATGAATAAGTTACTTTACATCACCTCAAAAAAATTGTATGAGCAGTACAGTGTTATATTCTTCATTTGGCTTTTGAGTATGCAAACAACTCTTTATATTTCTCATGTTCAGTATTGAACTGATTATATACCTAAATTGCCATCAGCTTCCTAAAATTTGTGTTATTTTCACTATAATCAGTAAATTTTAAACATAATTTTTACAGCAGTTACGGAATAGTATTTTAATCATTTTTACTCTGAAAAAAAAAAAAAATGTAAATAAACTAAAACTATGAGTGGGGTGACTGTTTTTCACTAGGTGACTAAATAAAATAGTTTTGTTGTCAAATAAAATTTTGCCTGTGAATTAATTTGCACTAAAGTTGAATGCAACCATTTCTTTATGTACAGATAGTTACAAGCGCATAGTTTAGTCCTTTAAAATGTTTTTGAACATAGGTATGAATCAACAATTTGAAATCATTGAGTGAACAAATATTACAATTATTAAATAATAAATGAAAACACAACGACAATATGTAAATAGATCTACGTTAAATATGGATAATTAAAGTAATGCTAAAAAATGAACAAAATATGGTTTGTACATAAATTTTATGTAAATCGTTTAGAAGTTAAATTAACGTTATAAGTAGTTTATTGCTGCAATCAGAGTTGTTTTTATTTTAATTGCCCATTTAATGTTTGAAATTATTTTATATTATCAATAATTTGTTATTTAAGAAAAATTATTTGTTTCTTGATTTTGTTGGTTTCTTTTTTCTTTAATTCTGTTTTTATACTAGATTCAATCATGCTTATCCAAAGTGTTCTGGCAAATGGCCTATGTAAAATTTTGTAAATAACTATACATTTTAATAGCACTTGCAATTAGTATATTTTGTGGATTTATATGGTATGGACATATGTATGAAACAACAGAGAATATTTTGGATAAGTAATGCAAAATGTTTGAATTGTTATGTTTGTGTAAACCAATTAATCATAGTTTTGTGATATAATAATATTCACACAGCAAACATTTTTTGTTGATAACGATTAATTTTTAAATTATTTTAGTAAATAGTCTTACTATTTGTCAGCGTATGAAGAATCTATATCTATTCGAATCAACAAAAAGCACAAATAAACAATAGTATTTGGCACAGACTTGCAAATTCACTAATTATTAGAGGTAATATAAAAATACAAATGCCTCGGGCACAAAGCTTGTAATTCAATATGCATTTTGGTACATAATACACAATTCTTAATACAAAGCATATATACATACATACATACACACACACACACACACACACACACACACACATACATACACATATATATATATATATATATATATAAATTATAGAAAATAATGAATTTAAATTGAAGTTAATTTAATATTTTTAAAATTTGCTAATTTGGTATCTTTTGCTTTATCACATATATTTGTACTTTATTCTTTTCTTGTATTATATGTTATGACTGAATTTCGAGACAAAATAAATTTAAATTAAATTAAATTAAAGTTTCATGATGCATTTTTTAAGATAAGCAGATTTTATGATTTGTTTATATTATACCATATATGTTCACACATCATTCATACGTACACTTACACATTGTACAGTATACACATACATACATGTATGCATGTATGTGTATATATATATATATATATACATATATGTATATATGTGTATTTTAAGAATATATATGTATATATGCTTTTGCATAAATATGATTGCAAATATGTACACTAGATTGAAATTATTTAAAAAATTTAAAATTGTAGACTGATCTTATATACATATATCTACATATTAAATAATAAAGATAAGGGAATGACTTATTTCATATTTGATATTAGAAATTCGAAAGTTAGTTTTAGAAATCACGCTATGTAAGTTTATTATCAATATCAGGCAGCTACCTCTTAGATTGCAGAAATTTTTATGCCATTATCTTACAATTACATGCTTTTCTGACTATGAATGTGATTTCTTTCGTAATTTTTAAAAATCGCACTACCCTTTTTTTGTGTATGGTCTCTAAGCTTTTATCAAAAACTGAAAATTTTGTTTAAATAAACCTAAGATTATTTTCAGGGTAATCATAGATGTCTGAGCTACATCTTTTCAATGTAATTTAAGTTTTCTTTTACTAATGATTTCTAAGGTCGGAATTACTAAACATTTTTTTTATGAAATTACCAAAAAAGTGACAATTTGGGAAACAGAAAACTGCTTTGTCCGTAAACCCGTTTTGTATCACTGCTATCAAATCAAAGCTGCATTGGTTTTGTATTAGTGGTTGTATTTTTTTTAGTGTACCCTTTAGAAGAGAAGAGTGCATGAAGTTGTTATATGATAAACCAACTCAATAATAAGCGTTTTAACTATCTATTTACTCACCCCTGTTCTGTTGAATAAATTGTATTTAGATTATGTACAAACAAAATTGATGGTTGTATCATATCATGTCACCACTAATATTTTGTCAAATAAATCTGAACATTAGTTTCTACAGTAGCATAACAGCTCCCAACATACTATAGTCGCAAACTAGTGTTTTATTAAGCTAGCTTATTTTATTGTCGAAATAAGATTAAATTTGTATAACAAGATTTACCTATGAACGTTGATAATTTTATATTTCGGGAACAGTTTGATTTTTATATAGTGCGCGTAAGAAATCGTGAAGCAAGATAAGCTTAATTATAACTTCGTAATGCATTCATCTCTTCAATCGAGCTGATAATAAATTAAATCGAGTAAACCAATTCAAGTCTAGTTTTAATCTCGTGATCGGGGTGTACCGGCAAATTGGTGGGTTGGTGTCAATCAATTTGTTATTTGCAAGTCGGCTAAAGTGTGTTACTGCCACTGCCAAGAAAACAACACCCTCTGCCAATTCATTAAATATTTATTGCACTAACAGCGATTATTTATCGGACATACTTCCAAGTCAAAGTTATCGTTTTGCGCTCCATTTTTATGCTGATAATTCTTTTGTGCAATATATATTTAATATATAATTGAAATGATGCAACATTAGCAATGTGCTGAACTACTACTTCACACTTAATAATTGTAATATATTATAAATATAAAGAAATAACTAATATTGTTAAATTAGTTTAAGCCTCATGAGTCCTTTATCGTGTGTACTTTTTGAGTACATCATGGCGTATACTATGTAAGTGCAAATATTTTTTTCTATATAGTCGAAATTGAACTAAACACCCCTATTGAAAAATCTTATTCTTGTCATTAGGATGTTAAAATAAAGATGAATTTTACATCCATGTTATACGCATTAGTACAATTCACAAATTGTTATTCACTTTTGAAAGGTAAAATGAGAAATCTCATCTTTATTATTTTGCTGAATATTTTTATCATACAAATATGTTTTGAATTAGAAATAAAGGCAGAAATTTATTTATTATTTGTAACTAACTGTACGATATTAGGCATTCCATATATTATAAATATTTGCATAAATAATAAATAATAAACGATTGTTTTAATTAATTTTGTATTTTATTAATGTAAGAATTGTATCAAATTCATATGATAATGAGCTTAAAATATAATTGAGCATTTCAGAGACAAAGTATGAAGATGACAAATTTTTGTAATGGACATACAGGCACATCACACTCATTGTATTATCAAGCAGAAAATAAAATTAATTTAAAAAAATCTAGGATGAGGGCACGCTATATTTAATAATTTATTAAGTTATTCTCAATTTTAATTCAAAGTCATTAAACAGTCATATATATCCATTACAAAATGGTTCTGAATGATCTATAATAATATTTCTATATTAATACTATATATATAATGATGTTCTCTTATAAAATATATGTCTTCCACATTCGGACGATGAATAATCGTTTAATTATCTAATAATTCTCGAAAATAGTGAAAATCACTTTTCTTCCGTTTGATTATTCAGTTGATTTCCGACTTGGTGTTGGGAATATCGTGAGGACCTGGACCTACATCTGAATAATAAAATACGATTATTATCATACCATCGCAGTGCCTTCGTATATTAGAAATGCAAGAAAAAATTTGTTATTCACATATCACAATTAGTTTTAGTTTTAGTTAAAATAGAAAATAATAATTAATAAAGTTATTCATTTCATGGGTATATTTTACGATCTATACCCTTGTTTCCGTGAACAGTTTAATTTTTTTATTTATGTAATCTGATCCTTGAATTTGTTTCGCAACTAAATTTATTATATTTATTTATTGTAAATTGTATTAAAGAATATTATCTCTTAATGAACTGCGCGATCGTTTCAACCATTATAAAGAGAATCTTATAAGATCGACATTAAAATGATTTAGTATATACTGATTTATGAACACTCACCCTTTACTTTACTTTGAACTTCGTGAAAACTTGATCTGATTGTGTCTAGCGCATTTCCTAGTCCGCTTTTGACTTGATTGAATTCCTGCATTACAAGAGACAAACGCCCTAGCAGATAATTTAGGTTTTCGTCGACTTCTCCCATACGACTTGTGATTTTACCGACCTAATGAATGCATGAAGTATTTTTAAAAGCTAAATTTATCACATAAGAACTATAATAAACAAGTTTTATAAAAAAAATATTTAAAGTCAATTGTATATTCAAATTTCATCGTTTTGAGTTCCTTCAGATGTGATCAGTGCAAACAAATTTTAAGCAACAGTCACGAAAAAAAACTTAATGTTAAATATGAATACATCAATCATAGCAAGTTTATTTAAAATTATCATTCTGTATTTAATGTGTTTTTAACCTTTACCTTTCCTTCCATATTATCCATAGTCTGGAGACTACCGTTCGTGTAAAGCTCAGTTTGGGCTTCAAGGCGTTCCAGGACAGTGGCACTTGTTGACAACTGGCTGGACATGATGCCAATTTGACGCCAAACTTCTGACATTTCTAATTCTATTTTAGCTGATAAATTTGCCAAAGAAGTACTTTGGTTGTCCAAAATTGTCAACTCGAGCTCATCAAATCTAATTGTTTGCAAAATGATCTTATTTCAATTAAGTGATAATTGGTGGTGTCGTTGATTTTGCTCATTGAAATAATACATTCATAGTCGTTTTTTTTTTAAACTTATTTTAGTGAATGGTTCCAATTCGAGATAAGAATGATCAAATTTTAACCGTCTCATAGCCTAATTGGAGCATTGTTTTTTCTTTTATCATGAATTACAGAATAATAAATGAGAGAAGTGTTTTAATATCAGAATATTAGAACATACATATAAATATGAATTTATCAATTCCTTAAATGGCAAAATATTGTTGTATTGCATGTAATGTAGCAGTAGACAATTTACTTTTTTACCTTCTGTTAACAGTCGAATTTATATCTCTTCCTTGTAGTTTTACCAAATTTCCAACGTCCATTACAACTTGATGAACCCCGTATTCGACACGTTTTTTGGTATCCAAAATATTGTCAGCTGTTTGAAGCATCACACGTTCAACTTTTCCGATGCCTGTGAATTAAAATGGGTTAAAATGAATCATTTATTTGAATTAGGGAATGCAATACCGGTATACCGGATTACCGGTAAACCGCCCGATTTTTCGGTGGTATTTTTATCGGTTTATTCCAAAAATATCGGTATTTTCGGTATTTTTACATAAGCGCTGTTTGATACATAATACCCTAAAGTTTAAATTTCTCGGAACAAATTTATCTTTAAATTCCATTATTGCATAAACAGCTATATCTTCAAGTGATTCTATAAGATAAACAAATGCCAAATATTATCTCAACTCGTCATTAAACTGAATATTTATTGCTTTCCAAAGGGCTTCATATCGTGTTACAATAAATAGAATTGGACTGATAGATGAGCCGTTCAGTGCACACAGTGGCTAACTCCGAAAGTCAGAAAGTGGAGAAAAGCGATAAAGTAATGTATATTGCTTTTAAAAATTCCTGTTATAATATAAATTGAAAAATATATTTTAGAACGTATAAATACATATATAGCTTACATGTAACGGTATATAAGATTTATAACTATTAATAGTGAGAAAATAATTATCATTAACGTTAAAGTTTTGATATGACTTGTGGAGTTAATCAAGTTTTCAACTTTTTTTAAACTTTAAACTTTTTTTTAAAATTCGGATCTTCATTGTAGTCACACTTAAATTGTATATCGTTGGGTTTGAACCTTTCTATTCTAAATTCAGTGCATTTTAAGCCAATTTTCTGGACACCCTGTGATGGTTACTTTTCTGTTATTGATTTATTGTTCTAAATAAATAAAAAATAGATAAAAAATCTTAGTGAAGCATTTGGCTTAGCTACAATGGCGCTTTTTTCTTAAATGTTTTTATTATATTGTATCAACTATCTGGTAAAATTATGTCTCGATTTTTTTTTCGCACGTGACTCAATAATGACAAAATCTTGAGTCAATAGATTAATAACTATTCTCACCGACCAGAAATTTATTTTTAATTAAGTTAGCTCTTATTTCCGTACTTTGAACAAGTTTCAATAAACTTCAGGCAGTTTTAATATTCTTGTTTTGCGGGGTACACGAATTTTAGTATGTTATTTTTTCAAAGTTTGTAACGTCCTCGATGTCTTTTATAAAACTAGATGATTTTTTTTCGAGACCCACAACACCCTACAGTTCTGTGTTCTTATTCGTAATTCGTGAATTTGAAACCCGAAATCCAACCCAACCAGAATATATACACTACAGAATGGAGTTAATCAAACTGTCTTCTGAAATAAATGACTTATGGATTCAGTGGTAAAAAAAAATTTTCGTTTCACAGTGGCAATTTTTATTCTTTTAGAAAATTATTATAATCATAAAAAGTTATGATTATACCAAGTTCTTTCCCACTAATGTGTGCTCTGAGCGGCTCAGATAATGATGTTTGTTTCATATTTTGTAAAACTGTAACGGTTTTTTAAGTGATATTTGCGCCAAAATATTTTATATCATACAGATTACCCCTGCGTAATCTTCATTTTTTTCTAACTTTATACATAATAATTATGATAATTACTAAATATTTTTTGCTTCTTATTGCAATTATAAAATATTATTTTTTGAAAACGTTTCGAAGTTTGAAAATACTATAGAAGCATCACATTGTTTTAAATAACAATACTCAGTAATTATAGTAACTTATTATTTATTTCGACAAAGAATCCGATCTTAAATTAGTGTAGAAAAATTATTTTTTTAAAATATTGGAGCTTATGCTAATTTAACACATCGGATACAGACAATACAGTTTATTATGATAATGTAATATGATCTTTTATGAGTTTTTGGTCTTTTTTACTCATAAGTTTGTTTTTGGTGAAAAGTACTCAATATACTCGATAGTGATAATGAATTCATTAAATTGCATATACTTTTGTTAAATTATTATTTAAAAAAATAAACTTATTGTTTTATTTTATTGTTTAGTTGAATATAGTTGTAGTTGTATATATTTTTTATATTTGTACTAGTAACTTTCAATTTTGTTTACGTTTGTTTAAGATAATGAAAATACCGGTAATTTACCGGTATTCCGGTTTTAAAATGAAAAATTACCGAAATACCGGTATTGAAATTTTCCATTGGTATTGCATTCCCTAATTTGAATCATTCACCAAGATTATATTTTGTCATTTGTCAATATATTATTATCAACAAATATATCACCTTGTAATTCGCCATGCAACGTCTCAAATTGATGATAAACATCGGCCGCAACACCTTTGGTGAATTGACTTTCTTCCGCAATTGCACTATGCATCTTGTTCATGCTATTGTGCAGCGTTTCGTATAGATCGTGAATCTTAACAGATAGAACTTCCGCAACTGAAACCAGAAAAACATACGATAAAATATATTACATATCAATATTGTAAATTATTTTCGGAAACTAAAGTTATTTAGAATTTCGTTTATAATGTGACTCCATATTTATATATTGAGTCAGTTAGTTATTTCAGTTACTAAATGTGCATGTGCATGGCATTGTGCATTGAGGCAAATTGCTGAAACTTCCCGTACTGTACTGAAATAGATTATTATAAATACTTTAACTTTCATTAAGATTTGTATTTTGTAGAAAAAGGACTTACAAATTGAACGTTGACGTTTATATATATTTACATGAAAAGTAAGTAAATAAGCTCAAGCAAGCAATTAGAATGAAAGATCTCATATTTCCAGGAATTATGGTATAAACTGATTTGCAAAACGAAAATGATTTATTTTAAGTATATGGGTGAACTTTAAAATTTTAGCTGGAATTAAATTAAAATCCGAGTAATTTTTGATACATAAAAAAGTATTTTTTGAAATTAAAAAAGAAGTCCTATTACAAGTTCTATCAGCTGTTTGTTGAAGACTTAACCTAATGTTTCATGAGAGGTATTGGTTTACCATTCTCAGCGGGCTAAATGCGAAGTTGTTCGCTATCATTATCTAGGCATTACCAGATTTACATATGCGGACTCCGGGTTAAATATTACGCCACTCAATGTCCGTAGGCTAACACATAGATGATGTAGCTATGTAATTATCCATATGATTTATAGGAAACAACAATTTTAAGAAGATATATGGCAAAAGTTACAAAGGTTCAAGTAACACTACTTTTGTGTTTTTCGAAAGCATGAATTTAAAGCAATTTCCTGGGTTGATTTATCACTGCTTTTTGATGGGTAAAAATACCATTGATGCCAAAATATTGCATGATAAGTGTTATCTGGACTGTGCCAAATTGAGGCAGCGGTTTGTTGATTTTAAATGTGTCCGTACAGACACTGATGATGCTGAACGCTCGTTATACCGGAGAATATTAAAAAAGTCCTCCGAAACGTTTTGGAAAACCAAAAAGTGAAATTGCCTGATATAGCTGACACCCTAAAAATATCAATAGAATGTGTTGGACATATCGTTAACGAATATTTGAATAGGAAAAACCTCTGTACTAAATGGGTGCCGCGCGAACTCACATTTGATCAACGAGTTGATGATTTGTAAGAGTATTTGAAGCTTTTTAATAAAACTGAGTTTTTGCATTAAATATGTCACAATGGATATGGCCTAGCTTCACCGCTACACTCCGGAGTCGAATAGACAGTAAGCCGAGTAGACTAGACACGATGACGAGAAAAAATGCAAACAATCAGCTTGCAAGATTATGGCGTCAGTTTTTTGGTATTCGCAAGTAATTATCTTCATCAACTATCTTGAGAAACGCCAGACCATCAACAGTGACTATTGAATAACATTACTGGAACATTTGAAGATCAAAATCGGAAAAACGGCCCCATTCCAAAAAGATAACCGTGCAGCTTCATCAGGACAACGCACCAAGTCACAAATCCGTGAAAATAGAAGCAAAAGAAACACCAATTGGGCTCCGAATTGCTTATCCACTCATTATTTTTTTTAGATCTATTCCCCAACGACCATATCCTGTACTCAGTTCTCAAAAGGATGCTCGCTCTGATGAAATTTTTGCTAAATGATGAGATGATAGCCGAATTTTGGAGCAAAGTACAAATAGTACTACAAAAAAGTTTGAAATTCACTATAATCGGTATGTTGCATTCAAAGAAAACTATATTGAATAAAAAAAAAGAATTTTGCCAAAAAAATAATTATTCTTAGTTATCCTACGGACTTATTGAGTAAAGAGGTATGCATAAAGAATTTTTTTATGAATTTTTATTTCTTCATAGGATTGCACATATGACCTTAGGTAATCATCAATAGATATTTGAATCAGGAGATAATATAATTAGAACCAACACGTATCACTAAAATATATAAGTAATATATATACATAAATACACACACACACACACACACATATATATATATATATATATATATATATATATACATTATATTTATATATAGGGCCGGTCCTGGGGTCCTCAGTGCCCGCATGCAATTTTTTTTCTAGCATGCAATTTGGAGTATGCACCACTAGGTGTAAAAAAAAACCTAGAAAGTTAATTTTGCTTCCATTTTTCATATTTGCTCTATTACCATAAACCTAACCACATGTCTTCAAATTCAAAGTTGCGAAACATTTGCAACAAAACCAAAAGTTACAATTCAATTTCTCGTAATAAATAAACCATTTTCTAAGCACTGAATTACTGTTTATCATTTTTCTCTATTATAATTTGTATCTATTTTTTTTAACAAGTTTCGTTTCAACTAAATCAGCTCACAATTTTTCGTCAATAATGCCCAATAATTTAATCTTTCGCAGGTTCGCGCTTATGGGATTGAACACTAGATAATTTCTTGTTCGATTCCACGTTAACTTCAAACAAAGAAAAAAATTAATAAGTAGATTAAGCAATAGGCAGAACAATAATTTACTAATTAGCAGAGTTATTAATCGGTTAATTGTTTCTAGCGATATCACATTGCAAAATATGATTTTTGTCTCCGTATCCATAGTTAGATTGTTTATTATAATCTATTAAGAATTCTTGATTTTATATTTAAAAAAATATATTAATAATGCATATTAAATGACTTGTAAAGGATAACACATAATGCTAATTTAGGTTTCTATATTTTAAATTTTAAATTATAACACACTGATGATGAGACAAATCTAGTCTCGAAACGTTTGTGAAATTATTATTTAAAAAATAAGTGCAAAAAAGAGTGTTGTTTGTTCATATTTATAAATTAATATATATATATATATATATATATATATATATATATATATATATATTTGTAATATTTTTGCAGCCCAACCGTCGAATTAAAAAAGATTAAATAACAAAATTATTTATTCCATTAAACGTTTCGACACTGGATGTGTGTCATATATATATATATATATATATATATATATATATACAGGGCCGGTCCTGCCTTGCATGCGATGCATGCAAAAAATGCGGGCGCAAGCCTTAGGGGGCGCCAAAACGAGTTTCGGAAATTAAATTTATAATATAATTTTTATTTTTTTCTAGAATCTAGAATACTTAATAAATTATAATAAATAATTTAACTTAACTAGGGATACGGAGACACAAAAAGCATATTTATTTTGCAATGAAATATCAGTAGAAACAATTAACCAATTAATAATTTTGCAAATTAGTAAATAACAGCTCTGTTTATTGCTTAATCTACTTGTTCAATTTTTTTATTGTTTGAAGTTACCGTGGAATCGAAAACGAAATTATCTAGTGTTCAATCCCATAAGCGCAAACCTGCGAAAGATTAAATTAATTGTTGGGCATTATTGACGAAAAGTTGCGAGCTGATTTTGTTGAATCGGAACTTGTTAAAAAATATAAAAAAATTATAAAGAATGGGGGGTCAATGCTTAGAAAATGACTTGTTTATTCCGAGAAATTGAATTGTAACTTTTGCTTTTGTTGTAAATGTTTCGCATCTGTTGAACTTTGAATGTTGAAGACATGCGTGGAACAAATATGAAAAATGGAAGCAAAATTTACTTTGGAACGAAAATCTTGAGGCTTGTTTTATACCTAGTGGTGTCCATACACTAAATTTAATAATTATTAATTATACAGAAATAACACATATCAAATATAATAAGTTTTTTTCAATATTGTTCAAGAAATGTGTAATTTCTTTGCATTTTTTACTGATTTTTGAACAATACTTCTAAAATACGTTAAAAATTTAACTCTGAAACAACAAGCTGATACTCTGGATATGACGGCTCTTACGTTATCAAAAAGGAGAAGTTTACGACGCAATTTTGGATATTGTAAATGATGAAAAATTAAATTAAACTAGCTGTAAGTGGAATTCTGTCTTAAGGCAATTAGGGCATCGTGCCTTAAGGCAAATTGCTGGAACTTCCCGTACCAAAACTTATTATTTTTTTTAAAATCGATTAACACTTTTGAAAAAAATTTACTTAAAAAAAAATAGATTTTTGAGAAACTATAAATTTGACAAAAAATTACTTTTTTTTGAAAAAAAAAATTTATTTGAAAAAAAAATAATTTTTTTTGAGAAAAAAAATTTTTTTTTGAAAACAAAAAAATTTTTTGAAAAAAAAGGTTTTCTTCATTTTGACATATTTTGGAAATTCTGAACTTTTTATCAAAGCAATCGCACTGCTTGAACTGCATTAGAGACGAAATGTCAAAGCTCGCAAATGCCGCGCCGCCGTCTAACGCATAAGCATTGGTACGGAACCCATAGAAATGTAAAAAAAAATATACTTATTGTTAAAATCTCTATAAAATATCTGATAATTTGATGTGCATATGTCTAATGATCATTTTTAACCGCCAAATGGCATTTTTTTTACCTTTTTCATTAGATCTCCGAAACCGCTAGACCTGCCTTCATGAAAATTTGATCAATTCTACATCTTGTCAATACAAGTAAAATGTTTTTTTAATTATTCAAATCGGACGTTTCGCTCTCTTAAAAACGAAGGTACCGTTTTTGGCACTTTTTGCCCCGTATCTTTGGAACGGCTAGACTTGCCTTCGCCAAAAACTAATCAGCACGTTTCCTTATCAATACGAATCGAATGTTTTTTGAATTATTCAAATCGGTTGATCCGTGTTCCCGAAATCGTCGACGAAAATTTGTATCCGCACATACATACACACACGTACATACATACACACACACATACACACACACACACACACACACATACATCCATTTTTTCTAAGGTATGCCAAAATGTTCAAAAACCTCTGAAACGTAAAGATATATAAAAATTTTCATTTTTGATTTTTTTGCGATTACTATAACTTACCCTACGGGAAGTTAATTAAAGTAAAATTTAAAAAATCCAACATGAAATACGAGTGTTATGTTTGAAAATTAAATGCTAGTTTTTTAAAATATTAATATTGCACATACGTTAAAAATAATTGAAAATTTCAAAATACTTGATTATAATCAATCTCCGAATCGCCTCGATTTCGCCTTTTAGATTATATCTAATTTTTTGTGCACTAAATCCAGAATAATTAATAATTAATTTGTTTATTTTTGTTCAATTAAAGTTATAGAATTTAAGAAATGCATTTCAGAAATAGTATTTATTATTTTGATATCAAGATCTTTATATCAAAATAATAAATACTATTTCTGAAATGCATTTCTTAAATTCTATAACTTTAATCTAACAAAAATATTAATTCTTTTGCTATGGTAGTCGAATTTACATCCATAACCAATTTACTACATATTGAATATTACTAAAATGTGAAATTATGACAGGGATTGTTTTATTTATTGTAAAAAAATGTACTTTACAAATTTGGAGAAATGGCTGCTAATTATGTATATATGTATATAATATAGTTATATGTGGAAGGCTAGGGGCTTATTGTAACAGGGGTAAGTCGGTGAGGCGTTTTTAATAGGCTCTTGAACGTTTTTTTTCTTGGTTGGACATGTAAACCGTCCTGTATAATTTTGCCAAGCTACTATCTCGTAGGCCGACGCAATAAACAGAAATGTGCAGGTCCGTCATTTTTGTCATATCAAATTTTACTATCATAAAATTTCGGTTGCGATTATTATTATCAACTAATTAAAATTTTTTTATATCCTATTTTGTTTCAAATTTATCATTCTTTGATAATGTGTAACAATTTTTGTGAATGCTAAATTGTATAAGTAGTTATATTAAATAATGCAAAAAAGTCAAACTCGGGGTTAGTTGAAACATGCAAGAATAGTATTGTCAGGTATGCAGTGAAGCCTATACATGTTATATTAAATAATGCAAAAAAGTCAAACTCGGGGTTAGTTGAAACATGCAAGAATAGTATTGTCTGGTATGCAGTGAAGCCCATACATGTGCAAGTGATTACATGTATGCAAGAATGCAAGGCATTATACGATATATTTTGCGCTACGTTATGGCAACGCTATGCTACGGTCCTATCATCGTATGAATTGGTAGTAAAGGCTGTCATAATACTATGTATTTACTGTGCATTCAGGCGTTTTACACATTATTGTCAGAAGTATTATTGTCGTTACTACTTGCCCTGGTAGAAGTTATAACTAGCAAACACGGGATAACCGCACTTTTTCTAGAAAATGATTGATTGTGAATTATATATTTCCAAAGGATGTCTGAATTCTGAATGTATGATTTTGCGTGGTTGCAATGTAACTGATTACATTGTTCATCTAGAAAAAACACAAAACCAGATGATGAACTCACGTTTGTCGGATGTGCTGATAACAGCGTATTTAGCTTCTTGAATCGCTTCCAAAGTGGCGTTGCTCGAGGCCCCGTAGACATGATGGTCCAATGGCGCGCCGACTGTCGTCTGCTCGCGGTGGTTACTATTTCGTTCCAGGAGGTCGATCATTTTCGAGTTGGTTTGCTTGAGAACTGACAAAAGACATACCAAGTATTATGAATTGTAGCAGTTTGTAATAAAGTTACTGATTAGTATTCTTATTTCGCTTTATTGTCTGATATTCAAAAAGGAAAAAAATAAATACAATAATGACTTTATCAGATCAATAATAAAAATTGCTAGTTGGTTTCTTTTTTAATTTTGTTCCTGTATTTGAGTTCCTATAACATAGAATGTTATTCGTTTTCTAATCAAACTTATTCTAGGGCGCCTCATTAATATTTTTATTGATGTATCATGTTTAAAATAAAAATTATCAAATTGATAAGCTTTTTTTTGGAGAAATATTGAAACTTTTTTCATTTTTTGTAACTTTGTTAGGGTGAATCTTACATACAAAACGATTTAAATTGGTTTCTTATTTTATTTCAGAAATTAATATACGTAATATACAAATTGTTATTTCGTGTTAATTTAATTATTTCTTGGTTCGTATATAATATTTTTTCTTTAAAATAAATTGTATAAGATAAAACTGAACCTAAACTAGAATATCTGGCAAATTGGTGTGATTAGGTTCATTGATCATTTTTGACCACCAATTGGCATTCCTTTCACGGCTAAGTTATAGTAATTCGAAAAATGAAACATAAATGCAATTGTTTATAAATATTTACGTTTCAAAACCTTCTTAACATTTTGGCATACCTTAGGAAAAATTGATGTTTGCATGTGTATTTGCGGTTACATTTTTTTGTCGACGCTTTTGAGACGATTCAACCGATTGAATGATTCAATTGTCGGAAAGATGCGCTGATTACTTTTTGGCAAAGGCAGGTTCAGCCATTTCGAAGATACCGGACAAAAAGTGCCAAAAAATGGAAATTCGGTTTTTGAGAGAACGGAGCGTCCGATTTGAATGATTCAAAAAACATTTTATTCATATTGACGAAAAGAAGAATTGACCAATTTTTGAGAGGGCAGATTCAGCGGTTATGAAAATCCAATAAAAAGTTATAAAAATAACACTTGGTGGTGAAAAATGATCATTGGACATACGCACATCAAATTATCAGATACTTTATAAGAATATTAATAATAAGTACAAATGTTAACACTGCTTTGGAGAAAATACTCTAAATTTTCAAACAAAGTGCTCCTTCAGGAAGTTAATAATAAGTCAGCCCTAGTAGATAATTTCTAATAGTAAAGTAATCAAATATGAAAGGAACAACAGTCGGGTTAACATCTACAAAAATACGACATAAAAGGAAAAGATGCAGGGCGTAAGGTTCTGATTCTATTCGCTTTTTTGCTTCGTATTTTCGAAAGGGCTGGACCAACCTTAGCAAAAAACTGATCAGAATCAATGAGAATCGAACATACATACACACATACACATTTTGAGGTATACCAAAATTGTCAGAAGGCTTTGGAACGTGAAGATAAGAAAAAAATATCATTTTCGATTCATTTGAGATTAATGTATCTTACCCTAAGCAAAGTTAAAAATTATATCTAAATAATTTAAAAAAGAAAGTTTAATTAAAAAAAATAAATTTTATCTATTAAAAAGGTCGCTTGGACGAATAGGGCCTAGGGCGGCAAAGAGCTTAATCCGCCACTGTTGATGGCATTTAATTATTATAGAGTAAGATTTAGTAAAAAGAGTGTTTTTTTATACCGTTTGCTTAAGGTTCACAAAAACGAAATATATTTTTTATTAAAAATATATCTAATGAATACCTGAAACTATTTCATTTTCCTGCTGATTTGCGTCTTTGCTTAAATATTCAGACAGTTTATTTTCGTATTTCACTAAATACTCTTCGGATTTGTTTATGGCTTTTGTTAGGGCATCTTCTGTCCTCTGCATTTGATAAATGGTTTTTTCATTCATTTTATTCGTGGATTCCTAAAATATAATTTATGCAAGAATGAAACAAAAGTTAATCTTATTTTCAGCATTAAAATGTTCAAAATGCATAATATTTTTTAAAATGCCAAAAAGTGATTGTAAGTGTGGCTTAACTAACTAAGTAACTCAATTAATAATTTCATGGTTTTGATTTGTGAATAAAAAAAAACAAACCTCTAATTTTTCAGTTCCAGATTTCAGATCAGCGAGTTCCTGCGTTAGAGTTTGTACTTCAGAAGAAATGGCATCTAACTTTTCATCTAGGGGTTTAGCAGTAGGTCGTTGTTCTTTCTCAGACGCAAGTACCTTTTGAAGTAACGTTGACTCGATTCTTTCTAATGATTCAGCCATTTTTTGCAATTGGCTGCGCTCTCTGTCATCGCGCTAAATAGAAATGTTTATATATAATTTTTGACAAAGTACAAAATAAATTAGAATTTTTGAAATTTTATTTTGATAGAGTTTCATCGCGATAACCTCAAATGTACGGTGAAGAGATAACTTTAATTTGGTTATGAGAAGCAAGAAAACTTTGTAAATATTAAAACAATTTAATTTTAAAAAAATGCACAAATAATGCATTTCAATTTTAATAATAAATTGTCCTATGACCATCAGGGCATCATCCACTATTTTTTAGATGCCCTTTTCTAATAATCACAAAAAATCACTGCTTTATAATAATATAACGATAAAATACTGCCAAAGATAAAAAAATAATATTGTATTATGTTATTATTATGTGTTAATTAGAGTTTCTACAAAAACCAATGTTTTAGAATACCAATTTTCGAATGGTATTTTTTCGAATAACCGCCGATTTCACATTTTTACAATAAACTATTTGGTAGAATAATTTGAACAATTTTTTTTTATTTTGTTAATTTTTTTATATTGTTTTTGCACTGCAATCAGAACTTAAGAGTCCTATAAGCTGTTGGGTCAATTTGACTATTTACTTCATTGGTTCTACAGTTGGCAACCCAAACAGTTGTCTCATCTCTGTGTGATAAATATTATTATTACAATTTCTGCAATGGAACCGGATGAGGAATATTTTTATTTGAAAACACTGAATATTGCTATCTATATTTTTTTAGTAAAAACCAATGTCACTACTGCTTGAAACTGCTTGAAACGGGACCCGGGACCTATCGAGTGTTTAAAAGCAGTTTTTTACCAGGATTAAATAACTTCAAGAATTAATTAGTTGTTTATGCATGCGTTTTTAGATATAGGGAAGGGCAGAGCACAAAGGTCCAATTTGACTTTGAGCGATTATATTGTGAATACCCAACCAATTATATAACAACGAATGATGCATATCAAACAAACAATTATCTGACTATGTTCAGTAAAACTACTAGTTAATTCATCATTGTAGAAATAATGTCATATTTTTTATTTCAAAAATTTGTCATCTGGTGCTTTTTACTCCACCGGGGTGGTAAAATGGGACAGCCGGAGGGCAAATAGATCCAATGTCTTATTTTCAATTTTAAAAGGATTTTACGAAACAATAGCTACATTAATCAATCAATAAATATTATGTGTGCATTTTTTACAAGATAAAACTGTATATAACTTTGATTTAGTATTTTGTCGGAAATATACATCAGCAAAGTTGGAATGACTATATATTTAACTTATCTATTGTAAAATTGCTTTTTTAACTTTATTTTTTTTTAAACTATTTTTTATTGTTTACACATTTGCCAGGGTAAAGGTTTGGTTGGTCCTTTTTACCCCACGCACATGTGAGCTTTTACACAGTTTTAAAAAAGATGAATCTAACTTAAAAATAATAATACAATATTATGAAACAATTACAGAACGTATACTTGAAAGTTATACTCAGGTCTCAGAAACTAAACAGGAGTGCTCACAACCAAAAAACTAACAAGAAAAGAAAATACTTTTGTTATGGATGTTCGAACATTGCTCTCTCGATAGCGACGTCGTAAGAATCGAGGAGATGGCTGGTTATATATCTTTTCTCCTTCACTTTCAAGTATTGCTGTTAAAAATCCTTAACTTTACTTGTTTTTAACTTCCCGTAGGGTAAGTTATAGTAATCGTCCAAAAATCGAAATCAAAAATTTTTACATTTCTCGACGTTTTGAAGGTTTCTAAACATTTTGGCATACCTCAGAAAAAATGGATGTGTGTGTGTGTGTGTGTTTTGTATGTCCGCGTTTTCTCGTCCACGTTTTCGGGCGCACGGATCAACCGATTTGAATGGTTTAAAAAACATTCGATTCCTATTAATAGGGAGATGTGCTGATTAGTTTTTGGCAAAGGCAGGTCCAGCCGTTACGGAGATATGGAGCAAAGAGTGCAAAAAGTAGAAAGCGAGTTTTTGAGAGAACGGATCAACCGATTTGAATGGTTTAAAAAACATTCGATTCCTATTAAGAGGGAGATGTGCTGATTAGTTTTTGGCAAAGGTAGGCCCAGAGGTTTCGGAGATACAGAGCTAAATTTAAAAAAAATGTCTGTTTTTGAGAGAACTAAGCGTCCGATTTAAATGATTCAAATAACTTTCAGTTTTTTTCAACAAAATAATTGATTTTGGAAAAAAAAAATTTTGTTTCTAATTTTTTTTCAAAAAATTTTTTTTGTAATTTTGGATTAAAAATTCAAAAAATCACCCAAGCTAAGCACAGTCTAAGCGCCACTCTGGTACAAATGTTTACCCAAGTGCGTTTAGACTGTTTGTGTACTGAAGCACTTTTCCAATTTTGTGAAAATTATTGAAAAATGTGAAAATGCCGCCAAGCTGAGCACAGTATAAGTGAAAATGTCACATAGAATTATTTGCAAATGCGTTTAGACTGCGACTATGCGGGAGCACTTTTTCAATTTTGTGTAAATTTGGCAACTATTTTTTTTTTTGGGATTTGATTCGAAATGAAATGACGATTGTTAATGTTCTGGAGATGATAAGTTGATTTATTTATAATTAACTTTCCATAGGGTAAGTAATCGCAAAAAAATAGAAAATGAAAATTTTTATATATCTTCACGTTTCAGAGGTTTCTGAATATGTTGGCATACCTTGGAGAAAATTGATGTATGTGTGTGTGTGTGTGTGTGCGTGCATGTGTGTGTGTTCGGATACAAATTTTCGTCGACGATTTCGGGAACACGGATGAAGCAATTTGAATAATTCAAAAAACATTCGATTCGTATTGATAAGGAGACGTGCTGATTAGTTTTTGTCAAAGGCAGGTCTAGCCGTTCCGAAGATATGGGGCAAAAAGGGCCAAAAACGGTAACTCAGTTTTTAAGAGAACGCAGCGTCCGATTTGTATAGTTCAAGAAACATTTTACTTGTATTAACAGGATGAAGATTTGATCAAATTTTCATGAAGATAGGTCTAGCGGTTTCGGAGATCTAGCAAAAAAAACTAAAAAAAATAACATTTGGCGGTCAACAATAATCATTAGACATTAGACATATGCATATCAAATTATCAGATATTTTATTGAGATTTTAACAATAAGTATAAATTTGGTTTACATTCCTATGGGTTCCGTACCAATGTTTTTCCGTTAGACAGCGACGCGGAGCTTACGCGCTTTATATTTTGTCTCTATGCAGTTAAAGCAGTACGATTGCTTTGAAAAAAAAATTCAGATCTTCCAAAATATGTCAAAATGAAGATAACATTTTTTCCAAAAAAAAATTTTTATAAAAAAAATTGTTTAAAAATTTTTTTAAAAAAAAAAAAAAATTTTCAAAAAAAAGTAATTTTTTGTCCAATTTAAAATTTCTATAAAATCTTATTTTTTCGAAGTAAATTTTTTTCAAAAATGTTAATCGTTTTTAAAAAAATAATAATTTTTGGCACGGGAAGTTCCAGCAATTTGCCTTAAGGCACGATGCCTTAATTCCTTAAGACAGAATTCCACTTACAGCTAGTTATGATTACGGTTGAGGACCTTTTTATCTGCGGACGACTATCGATTAGCAACAGTGTTTTAATCATTCTGGTACATTTTTACTTTCCGAAGTTTATGTTTTCATCAAAAAATCCGAATTGCTAATTTTATGTTTTCTCGACGTTTCAAGCCATTCTGAATCGAATGAGACCAAATTTGGAAAAAGTATGTGTGTGTGTATGTGTGTGTGTGTATGCGTGTATGTGAACAGATTTTTTGCCGTAAATCGACGTTTTCTCAAAAACGGTTGGACCGATTTCAAAAATATAATTTTCGATGTATTTCGATGAGGACTAGCGTTTCTCAGTTTTGTGTGACGAAAATTTTTTGGTCCACGTTTTAGCCCGCAATTTTTAATCGGTTTTAAAAATTCAAAAACCGTTCAAAAGATATTGATTGGGAATTGTGCTGATTAGTTTTTGGTAAAGATCGGCCGGGCCGTATTCTTGTAATAAAGTTAAAAAAAAAAATCGACGATTTTTATGATTATTTTTTTGATGGTAGATACCATAGTCTTCTAGATCGTACTAAAATATTACGACCCTACGACAACTGGTTTAGCTTTAAAAATTCGTAAAAGTTTGCAACAATTAGTATGGTCTTTTAGGCATTTGTCAAAATAAGAACTTTCATCGACGTTTGCTTAAAAACACCTGAACCGATTTCAGATATTTAAAAAGCATTTGATGTATCTTGATGAGGATTATCGTTTCTCAGTTTCGTGCGACGATCGGCCGAGACGTTTCTTTGTAATTTGGAAAAAAAGTGTTAAATCTTTCGTCCACATTTAAGCTCTTACTACCGAATCGATTTTAAAAAATCAAAAACTGCTCGAAAGATATTAGTTGGGAATGATACTGATTAGTTTTAGGTGAAATTCTACCGAGCCGTTTTCTTGTAATTAACTGTTGAAAAAAAAATGTAAGCCGATTTTCATGGAACTTTTTTGGGCGATATATATCATGGTCTTATAGAACTTACTGAAATATTACGGCCTTACGACAAGTAGTTTAATTTTAAAAATTCATCAAAGTTTGAGAAAATGAGTAGTTCTTTTGACATTTGCTAAAATTAAAATTAGACGATTTACTTGTTGTAACGATAGAGTACTTGGTCTCAATGAACACTCTTAATCATTAAAGTCCTACGCAAACTGGTTCAATTATAAAAATTACCAATTTTCGAAAATTTGCTTTTAGAAAATACTCCGAGTTAACGTTAAGTGTTCGTTATGTGTAATAAATCCCCTCGGAATACTTTTAATCACTCATAAGTTAATTTATTTTTTATTAATTAAATCGATTATTTATACATTTCAAGAAGTTCATGTAACTTGCCTCAAGGCAAATTATCAATACCAAATAGTTCAAGTATTATTCATCAATTGAAAACTGGAATTTTTCCTAAAACCGATAAACTTATAAACTCCGTTTTTGAATACCGACAAATCTTAGTGCTAATATATATCAAGCAATTTACTAGTAGAATTTCACTATTACTGGTGAAGTAAATCTAGTGAATTTATAAGCAATATTCATAAAAATGCATGGTCTAGTCTTTTAATGAGGAAGAAACGTTATTTATCATTAGCATCCTTTGTAAATCAACTTTTGTAGGTATATATAATATAATATAATATAAGCATCGCCTATCCACTACTGACTTGAATTAGGATCGTCTCTATGCTATTTATCCGTTCGTCCAGCCTGGTTAATGTACCCTTGATGGGTTCCAAGCGGTTATGTCGTTTCTCCAAAGCCGCCAGCGCTTTCTTGACGTGTTCGCCCAAAGCTCGCTCTCTGTATTCGTGCCGCTCCAATTTGTCCTCGGCCGAACGAACCATGTGAACCATCGACAGCATCGCATCTCTAATGTCTTCGTGCCTTTGAGAAATACATACGATAAATATAAATATTAAAGATTATACCTAAATTTTAATAACATTTAAAAAATTGAAATTATTCAAGTGTTGTTTATATGAGTATTTAGAAGGCACATGTAGTAATGTTTAACTTCCCGTAGGGTAAGTTACAGTAATCGCAAAAAAATCTAGAATGATATTTCGTTTCAGAGATTTCTGAACATTTTGGCATATCTTAAAAAAATGGATGTATATGTGTGCGTGTGTATGTGTGCATGTGTGTGTGCGGATACAAATTGTAGTCGACGATTTTGGAAACACGGATCAAACAATTTAATACAACTAGTGGTGCATGACATCGTGCCTTAAGGCAAATTGCTGGAACTTTTCGTACTGTAATTAAATCTTCGAGGAATAAAAATCATCCATAATTGTTTTAAATAATTTGAAATAGATTATTTATTATAAATACATACTGTAAATTTATAAGTGTTAGGGCGATAAGCGTATTCTTCAAATAACTTGTGTATTTTTACAAGAAATTTGTTCAAATATTTTTTAATTTGATTTGCTTGATTATTTTCAAATTTTTTCAAAATTTTGAAAATTTTTTATTAATTTGAAATTTCTTGAATTTTTGGAAAAAACGATATTTTAAAATTATATAAGAATTTGGAAATTTTTAAAAATATTCGATTTTTTTGAAACTTTCGAAATATTCTCAAATTTTTAGAAATCAATTTTTTAAAATTATAATTAATTTATAAAATCGTTCTCTCAAAAACTGCATGACCATTTTCACACTCTTTGCGCTCCATATTTTTTAAAAATTTTCAAAATTTAGATTTTTTTTGCAAATGATGAAAAATTTCGAAAATTAAAATTATTTGAAATTTTCAAGATTGCGAATTTTTCTGTAAAAGCATTTTTTGCAAACCCTTCTACACAAGCAAATGGTTTTTTGAATGAATCTAATTGGATAATCCGTTCTCTTAAAAACTGCATGACCATTTTTACACCTTTTGCGCTCCATTCCTCCGAAACGGCTCCATACTTTCAAAACGTGCTTTTTGCAAAAACGCCTTGCGATCGAGTAGGAACCGAATGTTTTTTCAATCATACAAATCGGCTATACCATAATGTCGGGAAAATTTGTTTGAAACATATAGATAAACTTCAAAATTAAAAATTTTGGTACGGAACCTTAAAAAATTGACACAAAATGTGTACACATTTTTAAAAGCTGTATTAAAATATCTGATAATTTGACGTGCATATGTCTAATAATCATTTTTGACCGCCAAATGGCATTTTTTTACTTTTTTAATTGAAATTCCGTAAGCGCTGGACCTGCTTTTTCAAAAATTTAAACAGTTCTTCGTTTAGTCAATACAAATAAAATGTTTTTTGAATTATGTATTAAAATTGAACGCTCCGTTCTCTCAAGAACTTTATTACGATTTTTGGCTCTTTTTGTCCCGTATTTCGAAACAGCAGACCTGCCTTTGCCAAAAACTAATCAGTACGTATCCTTATCAATAGGAATTGAACTTAAAACTCCAAACAAAAACAAATTAAAAAAAGAACAAATTTCTTCTAAACACATAAGTTGTTTGTAGAATACGCTCGTCGCCCAATATTTTAAACATAAGTACTAATTTTGTTACATTCTTTTTGGGTTCCGTGCCAAGACTTTCAATTTCTAAAGTTCACTTATAAGGTTGAAACAAGTTTGAAACTTTTAAGTTTTTTTTTTCAAAAATACACAACGTTTTATATATTAAATATAAATTTTAAATTTACAATTCAGTTTAAAAATGTATATATTTCATATGCGTTATTGTAATTTTAAGAAATATATCTTCAGATGGATTCATTCGGCATCTCTTCTTAATGTAAAGTTTTTTAAGTGTTTTGAGCGATAAAATCGTCACTATATAATATATGAACAAATAAATATATGGTAATTATAATATTTTTTTTGAAAATATTTAAAATAATTGATGTTAATAATTGATCAATTTTGATTGATTCTTAATATTTTTTTGCTCGAATATTTAATTGTGGTAGGTAAATTCCAACAATTTTGTCTTAAGGCACGATGCCATGCATTTCTAATTTTATCTATATATTGCGGACAAAATATTTGTAAATATGTATACGATCTGTTTTTAGAAGTAATCAGAGTAGAAGTTAAAAGCCAATCACATTTGACAGATTTCAATTTTCTTTTTTCTTGGCCTCGAATAAACTTTCCTGTAGTTTTGATGGAATAGAACTGTCATTTTATCCATGTGTCTAAATAATTTTATCCAAAAGTGAACAAAAATAAATAATTAATAAGAATTCTATCAAACACCTGATAATTGGAATAAAATTGATCGGGTTGGATAAAATCACTAGTACTGGCAGAAGTTCATTGGTTTTAATAGTAATAATTACGAATAACAATAAATATGTCCTCAGGAAACATGACAAAATCACTCTGAACATAAACTTTTAAAGACACGTTAAACGGCGATACACGTTTGAACTGATTACTACGTTAGGACTGTGACAATGACGCTCAATATCTGACAGGATTGTAATTATAGATTTCGTCACGTTATGCAGTCGCGAAAACGTTACTAGAACAATCAAAATTTGTAATAACGCCGCTGTGTCATTAAACTGTTTTAAACTGCATCGCATTAATTGAATAATGTAGCTATTACTCTATAAAACCTTTTCATAATTATTAAAAATAAAATTATGACCCCTGGTTTTACCCGCTTAAGGGGTAAAAAGGACCAGAAAACAATTTTTTCAACAGTTGCAAATAAAACATATGTTTTACTACGATAAATTAGCTGGGAGTCTCAGAGTTTTACTGAACACACTCAGATAGTTGTTTGTTTGATATGTGTTATTTGTTGTGATATAATTGGTTTGGTTTTGACAATATTATTGCTCAAATGCAAATTAAATCTAAGAGAAAATAGAAATTTAAAATTGAAAGCATATATGAAATAAAATAGGATCTCAAATAAAAAATGCAAATAAAATTTACATTTTACAAGAAAACTGAAAATAAAAATTTCGAAAATATGTTTTATGAAAATCATGTACCTATAATCGATTTTTAGATTATTATTTTTACAGTTTATATTATTTTTGAATATATTATCTTACCTCAAATTTTATTCAAAGTGTCTATTTTAAATTTGTTTTAAAATTTTGTTTGAGAACAAAGTTGCCCCTCTATTTGCACAGCATTATATATTTTTGTAAATTTAGAATTCAATAAATATTATTTGAAGATGACTGAATAAATTCAATTTGATACAAAGAACCACTCTGTCTATATTTTAGATAGTCTAGTCTATAATTAGATTTCTTATATTAGATGCAACAGTTAGTTAGTTCTATTAGTTCTAGTTTTATTAGTTAAGTCAATAGTTTATAATTTCCAACGTCTCTTCATAATATAAAATATTTTCTTAAAGATTCAATTATCTCTTATTATCTAATCACATCTGATTCTAATTTAAAACTCCTTATAAATTACGTTATTATAAAATGCTGCTTCGATAAAGATGAGCAAAAACAAAAGGAATAAATGTTCTATGTAATAAGTTTATAAAAGTATGAGCATCTCGTTTAATAAATCTTCGAGTATATAAACTAAATTAGTACTGATTTTGATCGGCGTTCGTGATTTGCATAACTATTATATTACGGTGCCAGGGTCGAATTGAGAAAAATTGTATAGAGCTGTTTGAAACAACTTTTCGAGACTTTTACATCTAGCAAGGGCTTATTTAGCATTTTGCACACAATTATTTCGAAATATAGTTAATATTAATTATTATACTTTATGTGGACGGGGTCGTGCGTTCTAACCCCCGTTCTGAATAACCTAATACCATGCAGTAGTGATATCATTTTATACTTGAAAATATAGATCAAAAGTATGTTTTCAACTTCCCGTAGGGTAAGTTATAGTAATCGTCCAAAAATCGAAATCAAAAATTTTTACATTTCTCGACGTTTTGAAGGTTTCTGAACATTTTGGCATACCTCAGAAAAAATGGATGTGTGTGTGTGTGTGTGTGTGTGTGTGTGTTTTGTATGTCCGCGTTTTTTCGTCCACGTTTTCGGGCGCACGGATCAACCGATTTAAAAAACATTCGATTCCTATTGATGGGGAGATGTGCTGATTAGTTTTTGGCAAAGGCAGGTCCAGCTGTTACGGAGATATGGAGCAAAGAGTGCAAAAAATAGAAAGCGAATTTTTGAGAGAACGGATCAACCGATTTGAATGGTTTAAAAAACATTCGATTCCTATTGATAGGGAGATGTGCTGATTAGTTTTTGGCAAAGGTAAGCCCAAAGGTTTCGGAGTTACAGAGCTAAATTTAAAAAAAATGGCTGTTTTTGAGAGAACTAAGCGTCCGATTTAAATGATTCAAAGAACTTTCTGCTTTTTTCAACAAAACAATTGATTTTGGAAAAAAAAATTTTTTGTTTCTAATTTTTTTTCAAAAAAATTTTTTTGTAATTTTGGACTAAAAATTCAAAAAATCACCCAAGCTAAGCACAGTCTAAGCGCCACTCTGGTAGAAATGTTTACGCAAGTGCGTTTAGACTGTTTGTGTACTGGAGCACTTTTCCAATTTTGTGAAAATTATTGAAAAATGTGAAAATGCCGCCAAACTGAGCACAGTATAAGTGAAAATGTCGCACAGAATTATTTGCAAATGCGTTTAGATTGTGACTATGCGGGAGCACTTTTTCAATTTTGTGTAAATTTGGCAACTATTTTTTTTGGAATTTGATTCGAAATGAAATGACGATTGTTAATGTTCTGGAGATCATAAATTGATTAATTTATAATTAACTTTCCATAGGGTAAGTAATCGCAAAAAAAACGAAAATGAAAATTTTTATATATCTTCACGTTTCAGAGGTTTCTGAATATGTTGGCATACCTTGGAGAAAATTGATGTATGTGTGTGTGTGCGTGCATGTGTGTGTGTTCGG